CCTTTTGTATATTTACAATGTATTAATGTATAATTGTGAAAATTTGTGTCTGTATATATATATGATAACATATGATTAAACTAATAATTTTGATCACTAGGCGGCGATGTTTATTGTGTTGCTTCGTTGCAAGTGGGTTCAGATACGTTCGTACAATTATACAATCCACAAGCAACAGTAGACAGCAGTAGTACGTATAGGTTCTCATGTTTGGTAAGTTTGTCTTAATACATGTCAATATAAATCACCTTTCTTTAAATTAACATACATTTCAACATTTCGTTAAAAATCGTCATGCTCCGTCACTTTCTGTGTCTCATTTTGAAAAATAAACCTAACATACGGAAAGGAACAAATTTTACCGAATCTATAGGGTGGTTCTCGTCGGTGATGCAGTGCTTGATATTTCAAGCAAATTTTAATACTAAAGAGTACCATCTTCATTATCTTATCTTAATATACAAGTTCCAATTTTTCCATCTTTACTTTAAGGTTAATACGGCCACCAAACTTTAAATTATATATGTTATCGGTCAATCTACCATGAATAATGAAAAAGGAGGTATATTATTTGTTAATAATTAGATTTTTATGAAAATCAAAACCAATCTTATTTCTTGTTATTCTGTTGCCTGTATTTTCATTGAATGGCCATGATGATGATGATGATGAAAAAATGATGATGATGATAATGATTATGATAATAATTATAATAATTATATTCGTACATATTTTGTGTGTATGAAACTAGTCGGAAAATTTGTTAAAGGAAGCTCCTTTAGATAATTGTTTTCTTAGTTTTCTGTCACAACACTGGACACGTCAGTTACATTGTACATACAAATAATGAAATATCATTTTCAGGCTATATCTTCGGATAGTCTTAGTTCGACCATAGTTTACAATAACTGTACAAATCATCAAACCTCGTCATATGTTCCAAGGAAACATAACGGTGATGTGATAGGAGCAAGCATCTCTTTCTTACCTTACGGTAAGATTTTTGATACAATAGTAAAACAAAAACAACAATAACAACAAACCTATATTAATGATAATTAATTAACAATTATTTCAATGCTAATAAGCGAAAACGGTAAAATTTTATTATAATAATGTTGCTGATGATGATTTTGATGTTGTTGTTGTTGTTGATGATGATGATAATGATGATACTGATGATGATGATTCTGGTGATGTTGTTGTTGTTGTTGTTGTTGCTGCTGCTGCTGCTGCTGCTGCCGCCGCTGCTGCTGCTGCTGATGATGATGATGATGGTGTTGTGGATGATGTTGATGATGATGATGTTCTTATTGATGATGACGATCATGTTGATGTTGTTGATGATTATGATGATGATGTACTTGTTGTTGTTGATGATGATGGGGGTGATGATGACGATGATGATGATATTGTTGTTGATGATGTTGTTGTTGTTGTTTTTGTTGATGATGATGTTGTTGTTGTTGATGATGATGTTGTTGTTGTTATTGTTGTTGTTGTTGATTATGATGATGGTGATGCAACATTGACTATGATACGTATAATCATGGGGTGTTTTTGTGATGATGATAAAAATGCTGTTGTTGTTAATGATGGTAGTGATGTTGTCGATAATATTGATAATGAATATGGAGATGATTTTAATGCCCGGTGTGAATTTAGAAAAATAGTGGTTTAATGTACCGGCTAAAGGGAAAGGCGGGAGAAGATCTAATGGGGTATTTCGAATCTTTTTTACTACATTCTTTATAAACCGCCTAACTTCAATTATTGATCAATTCAGTGTTAATAATACAGATTTTATTACGTTGACGCATGTTAACATATTTCAAATACTAAGTTTTTTGTGTTGTTTTTTTTTTCTCAAAAAATGGCGTCACGTTTGAAAACACCCTCTCACGTGACAAAAAATCTAAGGTAGGGTATGGTGATTCGTGCTTATTTCATCAATTTGAATACATGTATTATAGAATATTTATATTTACATACGAGTTATAAATCACAGCAACTCTTCACAATGATGTATTATGACGAGTGTTTGTCAACTATGGAGATGGAAGATGAAATGAAAGGTGTTCAAATGTAACCAGGTGGATATTGTCTATTCAAAGTCCATAACGGGATTCGAACCATTAGCTGTAATAGTGAATTAGCGAAATAACGAAATCGGCCATAAAATCCATTGTTAAATGAAAAACATTAAAAACACTATTATTTATTTTAATAGTGGCAATTTGGCTAAATCTAATTCATTTTCTCTCTTTATTTTCAGTTTTCTGCAGTAAGTGACATTTCTTATATTTTATATTATGTAATATTATTTAAGTATAAACATATGAAAAACTAAATTTAAATTTTGGAGCTCTGGAATGCTGACACTCTGAATCTTGGGATATATTTTTTTATAAACTTTGCATGATCTTAAGATATGATGGCGCGAAAAGATGAGAGTTACCAACGTCGTTTCGAGTTATCTACCTTTGTTTCAAAGGCAGGTAACTCTGTATTATACATTATTTCTTATATGTCTGTTTAGAATAATCAAAAACATTTAAATATAAAACTACCAAAAGAAGAATGTGATATATAAGCTGCACTATTCATTGTTGCGAGCTCAATGAAAGAAAAAAGAAAAAAAAAAGAAAAAAATTAACCTGTAATTAAATTATAAATTTACATTTAATTTTGTCATTCATTTTTATACGTACATGAATACCCATAGTTAAGCATAAAAATAGTTTTGATAATGACTATACTTTTCATAAAAATATATAAATCAATCATGCAAGTCTCTTTAAAAGGACTACTTAAAGGCCCATTGTGCCTCAGATATGCTTCTATTTCTTTACTTCTCATAAGCTTTTTAATTTTGTTGTACGTTTATAGTGACCTCATTGGCAATTTACCAGATACATCATTTTCATATGTTGGTTTTTGGCTATAAGTATGTTTACAGTCAAAGTGAATAAGTATTTTATATGGAAGTCAATAGACATGTACTACTTTGTATACATTTTGCTTCATTTATGACAACTTTTTCTCACATCTCTCACTACTTTAATTAGGTAATAAGAATCTATCATTCTTTAGAAGCATTATTAAAACATTATAAAATTCATGTTTGCCCTTTCTAAAGAAGTAAAAATAAATTTGTTTCTGAGGCGTAATGTGACTTTAATTAATAATTTTATACCCTTTTTTAAATAGATATATAAATAAATATGATTATAAACCCATCTTTCAGAAATACAATGTTATCTTTACTCTTTTGTAATGTTACTCATTGTGCACATAATCGATATGCGATACAACCTATTGTAATGATTTTCGCGTGATTTCAATTTCAAAACCTTTAAATATAAAATCTGGCCAGATGCGAAATCAAAATTTTAATGTATTGAATTTGATTTTGAAATCGATATTTAACTATACTATTCAATAACGTTGTACAAAGACGAACAAATAGTTAAACATGAATATATATACTTTTTCAATCACATTTTTACGTATTATGTTAACATCAAATATATCAAATTTATATATAAGGTAATCATAAATATTGAAAAAAAGAGAAGAAAACCTAGAAATTAAATACACAGAAAAATATAGGGCGATTTTTTATACAAATATAAACTACATGTATATACATATATAAGAAACAAACAAAAAGTAGAGAGAATGGTTACGAAGTTAAGATAACTTTCAGTTTTTCGTTGTTCCTGTCGTCGTCGTCGAAATTCAGCATGATAATACCTTTAAATTTATAGAAGTCATTTGCATAATGTATTCAAACTCGTTAATTATGAGTTTTATATAATCAGGGTATACAAACACAGTTTTAGCATCGAGCGGTCAACGGTCAGGCAGCTCAGTGGTTTCCATACTGGTGACAAAGTCATGAGCTGACTTTAATAGAAAGTCCTAGGTGTAAAATCAGTCTTAAGACTAAAATTGAAACATTTTTTTTGTGATAGAAATGTCTCAAATTAGGACTCGTATCATATGACTCTTTGAAATTCTAAATAGCCATGCAATGAGCATTAACACATTGCGGATAAAAGTGTCTGCCATTTTATTTCACCAGAGATCAGGAAAATGAATTTAATTAAAGTCTTAAATATAGTCTTTGAAGTCATTAAAGATAAAACTCTTTGTTTCAAAGACGTTCAGTTAGTCTTAAAGTTGATCTTGCGTTCATAAACTAAGGATACACTTAGGAATTTCTATGAAACGTTGCCCTGTTATCTTGACGTGGGAAAAAAGAGTTATATATTGCTTTTATCCGCATGATTATCTTACACAACTATTTTTATGAGTCTTTATTTCGCATATACCATTCTTACATACCTATACGGTATTACAAAATAAAGATTTAAAAAAAAATAAAATCGACCCAATGCTTTGCAAAGTTCTTAATCATTCAATTTTTTTTAAATAATTCTCCGGTCTATTATTTCAATCTTGGTCTCCAAGATTATTGGGCTCTCTGGTTATTGTCCTGTAAGGTTATTGGGCTGCTAGATTGCTAGGTCTACCGCACAGCAATTTCTGAACATAATGTTTCCTAATATAGATATTAGAAACAATATATAGGTGACTAGTTGTCCAGTATGTCGAAGGTCACTAAAAGTTAAAATATATTGGGATCATTTCTTTGAACGAGATTTTAATCCTTCAAATAAATATTAAATGGGATTCGAACGACCTTAAGAAATTAGTTTATTTTTCTCAAGGTGTTTTAAGCAGTATCAGTATTTCAGATAACAACCTGCGTTCTGTGAGAAAAAAATCCGAGCTCTTAAATTCATCATTTAGTTAATATTAAATGAAATATAATTGATAGATCTATGTAATATAATAATTATTCCTTATTTTTGCCGTTACTAGTAATGTATCAATTTCATGTCGCACAATTTAAACAATCTTTGAACTTGAAAAGCCGAAAAATGTCAAACATTATTGAAAGTTTATAACAGCTATTGAGACCATTGTAGTGTTGCTACTGCCATTTTGTATTGATGCGCATGGGTGAAAGGTTAGGTCAGAAATCCCGATCGATTTACGAACGAAAAGAAACTTTTAATAAACGACTTAATGTGAATCTGTGATGTAAATGGATCACTAATTTGTTATAAGAGACACGACTTAGCTTTTAATACGTTTAATGGTATTTGTAACATTTTCTTCACGCGGATGAATACCGCGGGTGAAACACGGCGGTCGATATTGTTAAATAAACTAATAATTTAAAAAATAGTGCTTTTTTTCTTCCAAACGACTTGTGATATCTTTATTAATTTTGCAAAGGAATCGTCTTTGGTAGTTTTATTTCACAAGTTAATAACGAAAATCCAAAGTATCGGAAGCGCTTTTGTTGGATTACATATTTTCTATCTCGATGCAACTGAAATTAGTCTATATGGAATGAAATATTAAAAATGTGATATAATTTATAAAATGATGTTTTACACAAGTAATTTTCTGTCGGTTTGGATATGGTTACAAGTCACTCTTGATTTTTCAGGTAAGTTTTCATAAAACTAAATCTGTTCCTATTTGGTTTCCATTTTCAAGACAGTATGAAATAGTCTTAAATTCTAAATATCATATTAATATTTGTATGTAAAATATACGTAAACAGAGAGTGTATAAAGCACGAAACATTAAACAAATAAATAAATAAATAAATAAATAAATAAATAAATAAATAAATAAATAAATAAATAAATAAATAAATAAATAAATAAATAAATAAATAAAATAAATAAATCACACTACTGATCAAAAAACCAATATAATAATAATAATAATAATAATAATAATAATAATAATAATAATAATAATAATAATAATAATAATAATAATAATAATAATAATAATAATGATAATAATAATCATTATTGTAATGATAACTGATATAATTATTGCTATCATGGTACGACAGATAAGGCGAAACTGTTAACTTAGAAAGAGAATTTTTACACAATAATAATAATGATGATGATGATGATGATAATAAAGACGATTATAGAAAGAAGGAAAAATGAGATTTATAAATAAGTAGGGTAAAAACCAGTTTGTTTATCTCCATTAACTACTAAATTCATATTACCTTTTGTTCAAATATTAAAAGATAAACATATCTAAAGCTGTCAGTAGATAATGCAGACAAATAAATTTTGTATGTGAGAATTTTTGTGTAGATGTTCAATTTGTTGATGGCACACAATCTGTCACAAAGTAATCATATTATACTAAAGTCTACAAACTATACGATTGTTATTCCCAAGTACTCTATTTGTTATCAACCATTTCATTAGCACGCAAAATTTTTTCTATTACTTTCAAGAGAACCTATCTCAGTGTATACCTTTTGTTTATTAATATTTCATTTTTTAATAAAGAGAGACAACTCCTTTAATTCTATGAAATATATATATGTCGTTAAAATATCATTTTGACATACCCCGACTACATGTAAAATCATTTTGAAATATCCCAAATAATTATTTGTGTGTTTTTTTTGCTTTCTTTTAATGTAAAGTCGCACAGGCGAATGCACAAGCTTGCAATTATTCTTTTCGGTTGGATCTAAATCTGTTCAATTTCATTTTTTTGAAATCCTAGTTGTAAGGAAGGCGTTTTTATATTATGAAACTTGATGTTTTCCTGTTGCAGTCAGCATAGCAAAGAAATCAAATTTACATGCTATATTTTCAAACGCAGCTAGGCGCGCAATCCCAGTTTGAATGCATCTTGTATAATATACGATATGTAAAGAAATATTGTGATTTACATTGACTTACCTGGCAGTACTTTGACCTGATCAATATATATATTTGTAAACTATTCAAATATTTAGACATCTATTGATAAATACCGCAAAATTAGCAATCTCTAGCTGTGAGCGCTTTACATCTCCATCCTTTTAACACAAAGATCTCTATTTAACCGAAAGACAGTATAATAAACAGAAAGCATTTTTATTGAAATATCTTTTTGGTTCACTTCATTTATTTGATGTGTGTACCTGATTTTCACCTAGAATGAAAGGAACGATAAAACGGACCGGGTACACTATTATTCAATATGAATACACAAATTATTTTATTTATACAACGTATTGAACTATGGCAGTATCCAAATGATTGTTTACTAAACATAAAAGATTTTGTAAAATGTATTCGCCATAATATATTATTGCTTCCATTTTTATATAGAAATTATATTTGATTAAATTGTTAAAATCGTCTTGACTGAATAGAAAAATCTTTATTCGATAGGATATTTGGATACAGGCAGAAACCTCATTTCATACATAAATTACATAAATATATAATTTACGTCAACAAATTTCAATGGCATTTTTTTTTCAGTATTATTGATAATAATGCATGAGCGTAAGTTAACCTTAAAGCATATAACATCATAACCACTACATTGTATCCTATGTTACTAATTGTTTTTTTTAAATGTATTTTTTAATTAACAAATCCGACCAAGAATAAAGATATTTTTGCCTGGTTACATTTATTGATTCTTTGACTATGTATAAGCATTACCTTATCATAAGGCGTCCGTGGCCGAGTGGTTAAGGTCGTTGACTCCAAACCACTTGCCCCTCACCTCTGTGGGTTCGAATCCCGACAGGGACTTTGGATTCTTTCATGTGAGGAAGCTATCCAGCTAGCTTACGGAACGTCGGTGGTTCTACTCAGGTGCCCGTTCGTGCCTGAAATAATGCACGGAAGGGCACCTGAGGTCTTCCTCCACCAGTAAAGCTGGAACGTCGCGATATGACCTATACTGTGTCGATGTGACGTAAAACCCAAAACAAACAAAACCTTATCATAATTCATGTATCATTTACTTTAAATCACTTAATTCAAACTCGAAAAAAGTGCATTATATCAATAAATATGTTCTTTGAAAGCCCATTAAGCATCTAAAGCTTTTTTGTGTGCTGTCGCCAAGAGTCTTTTCTAGTAGGTTTCAAAGAGCTCCCTTAAAAGGTCTTTGTGGTCTTTGTGGTCTCTAAGACACCTCTTACAGTCGAAAATTATTAGTGGTTCGTAACCTTTACCTGGCGTTAGTTACCTCCCTTGTTTGGGCTATCACGCCATTTGCATCGTATCTCCCACGCAGTGATCTCCCCTTACAGTATTATATCTCTGCCATTACAACATTTCCGTTAAGATTTTTGACGATATGATTTTTCATATGCCCGTTTGAAAAACGGTCGTATTATAGTCCCCCACCCCTGGCAGGCGGGCGGACGGTCTGGCGGCATCCAATTTTGTCTGGAGCATATCTCCTACGCGCATAAAGGAATTTTAATGAAACCACAAAGATTTGTTCACCACTATAAGAAGCTGTGTCGCGCGCATGAACCAGGTCTCTAGATCAAAGGTCAAGTTAACACTTAGATGTCATTGAAAAACGCTTATCCAGAGCAAAACTTCTACATGCATGGAGGGATTTCAATATAATTTGGCACAAATGTTCACCATTGTAAGGAGGAGTATCGCGTGCAAAATTTCGGTCCCTGCCGGACCAAGGTCAAGGTCACATATAGGGGTTAAAGTTTAGATGGAATTATGAAAATGTGTATTCGGACCATTTAGTCTTCATTTATTGATGGATTGTTACACAAATGATAACTATCATGACTACAAGTGTGACACATGTAATTTAGGTTAATGTTTGCAAGGTCAAGGTAACTAGAGATCATAAAATATCCAGATATTGTCCGGATATTGCTCAGAGCATATCACCTATATGCATTTCTTTAATGCCCACATCTCTGTCATATAGGTTTTGTGACAGGCGTATTTTGCGACAATGTTGCCCTTGTTTCAATTTTGATACTCGTATTTATTAAAAAAAAAGTAAATACGGTTTTGCTATGTTTCAAGACCGTCAGGTGGTAGATGTGAACTTATAATAAAAAAATAATTTAGGAAAACAAATTATGAAAATAATTTTTAATATCGCACCGTTTATTTCCAAAACAGTGGCCGCTTTCGAAAGAGTAATCATTCAAGTAATTAATAATTCGGATTTCACACTTAACAAAAAATTATTTTTTTCAATCATATGGACAGAGTTGACACCAGAGCTCAAATTACAATGTCGCTGTTTATTACAGATAAAACAGTTGTTCAACGATTTCTTTGGCGTATCCGCCATCTTTAAGATTCCAAAATATTATTCACTAGCCTTATACCTTAGCCATGTTATGCTTCTTTTGCATTCGGCAATTAGTACAGTTATTATAGAGAGAATGGTATATGGTTTTGTTTTCATTAATTATCGCTATCTTTGTCAAAAATTGTTTCATATTAAACCCTACATGTATTTTCTTTACTTGATCATTAGCACCTTACATGCTCTTAGTATATTATTACAGCACAATGAAACATGATTTGCCATATCTATAGAAAGGAAAGCAACATCATCTTAAGGAAGAATGTGCCTTTAATAAACAATGAACCAGCTGGAGACGAAATTGATTAGCCTTTGCCACCAGTATACAGCAAGACTAACATGCCCATCCGTGCAGTCTGAACAGACTTTTGATATTGCTAACCTTTAAAACTTTTAACTTTGATTACTGCTCCAATCCATTACTCAAATTCAGCAAGCCGAGTGTAAAGCGAGTATTATTACAATTATGTCATTTTCAGTGATTTATGAAGAATTTTATTCTTGATAATTATCAAACTGGCTCAAATTGAATTGTAATGGCTATCAAATCTAAATATCATTTATCATTCAGAGGGCGGATGCACGTGGCCAGCAGCATTTGTGAGTTCCACGTGGCGTGACAATACACGCGGTGACATCACATTTGGCACTGATACGCTGCAAGGATGGAGTATACAAATGTATGGATCTACAGTCAGTAATTGGGAATGCTTGGATCAAAGTTATTTTGATTCAGAGGGAATATTGATTATAAAGTATGTACACATACAATTTTTTTCTGACACAAAATACAATATGTAAGGCAAGCTTAATTTTGCACCTCAAACTACCCATTTCAAGTTAAAAATTACCATTATTTACGTGTTTTTCTCCAGTGTTACCATAATGTTTTCCGACATAATCCGTATCGTTTTCCAAGAACTCCTTGACAGTTATCATAAGAACTCCTGACAAGTTATTATCATAAGATATCAATCCTTCGTGTAACAATTCTTCCTACGTGACAATGTCACATGAAAATCTTTATCTTTAATTCAGCTAAAGCCGTCGCTAGGGATCATTAGTGCAAGAACATATGATCCGCGTCATGACAAAACCAACAAAATGGGTTTGCGACCAGCATGTATCCAGACCAGCCTGAGCATCCGCGCAGTCTGATCAGGATCCATGCTGTTCGCTGTCAGTTTTTCCACTTGTAATAGAGTTGGTAAGCGAACAGCATGGATCCTAATCAGACTGCGCGGATGCGCCCATTATGTTGGTTTTGTCATGGCGCGGCTCATATATACTCAATCAAACAGAGCCTTAACAATTTAGATATAGCTGTGTGTTTTTTTTCTACTTTTCTAATAAAAGTGTTGCACAGTATGGCATTAAGCTGTAACGCCCAATAAAGGTACCTTGTTTGTCTTAATTTCTTTTCAAATTATAAGGATGTTCAGATAAAGGTGTATTAGTTTATCTTAAAAATACTCGGTTTTAATTTTAGGTCCACAGATACGTTTAGTCATGTAGGTGGAACTTGGACCTCATTTGTTTGCCTGGAGATGACAAAGGTCACAGACAATTCGTATTATTATTACCAAAAACATGGTAAGGTTCCATTTTCTTTAGTATCTTATTATAATTAATTCAGTCACATGTTTATCAATGCTTTTACATGATTCATTTAACTACATGTATATCCAATACAACTTTCTATTTTTTTAATTCAATTTTATCAATACTTTCATCTTTACAGATAAATATGCGTAAGTCTGTATCAATTCACTGGGGTTAATGCTAAAGTCTCTCAATTAACATGATATATAAATACTTTAGTGAATCCTAAAACATCTGCTATTCCCGTATACATCGGATAAGAATCATTGACTTAGACCACGAATACACCAACGCAATTAGTACACAATCTGTTAAGAGTCACTCGACTTGAAAATGAAAATCCACGTCAGCATCAAGTTAATTAATCAACTATGAGTAAAAAGTTATAAATAATAACTTATTAGTTAAAGTAATAAATGTTTTACAGAGCTTTCCGTAGAAAAGGTAAATAACAACCTCACCAATAACAACAAACATTTTAGATTTTTTTCAGCCTATAGAATTGATGTTCTATTTTTAGACCAACTTGACTCTGGCGGAAGCGGAGACGAGCGTGTCAAATCAGAAACTGACGGTACCATTACCGGAAAGTCAAATATATGTGGTTCAACTGCTGTACCAACTGCTGAATTTCATTTCATGGTCAAGTCAGGTTAGTTTCAGAATTACATTTGGTATGAGGTGAATTAAATTGACCTTTCATCATTTTCATTTGTTTAAAGATCCTATAACTCAATTTTTTATGGTTTTATATCATAAATATAATGCTCAAGTGAAGATTAAAAAAAGCATTATTTGTTTAGATATTGCCGGATTTACATTTCATATTAAAAAGGGAGGTAATTAGAAATTTATTTTCTATAAAAACTAAGTCAAATTTTTCAATAAGAAATGAATGCATATATTTTAAAGATTACATATAATGTGGCAAATATTTGCAGTACATATTTTACATATTATTTGATGTTTGAAAATTGTTTTAGAATCATAATTATATAGATATACATGTATAAAATTTTACTTAAGTGTGGTTACAACCTTAATTACAACATACAGAATCTTTAAGCCGGTGCTAGGGGGCATGGACGGTTGCTTGCATTTACCACTACCGTACATGAACAGGCCAAGGCAAACAGAGTCTGTAACATTTTAATGTTGCCTTGTTGGGCGTCCTTAAAACTTTCAAGTTTAGCACATAAAATATTTTGAAGGACCTGTTGACCTGATCATTAGTTTTATGGGATTAAAATGAATGAAAATGATTAGTAAAAATAAAACTTCTAAAATAAAGCAATTATTATAATAGATCTTATAAGATTGCACGTAAGAGTAATTCTTACTTTAGAATATCAAATTTTAATGTTTTGACAAAATGACGATGTTTTCCCATTAAGACATGTATATAATGCTATATATAGTAGAAATTATACACATATCTCTGAAATTATTTATAACAACAATTATTATTCTTATATACCTTTAGGGTCGGAATCAGCATCAAAGCAATATTGTTCCCCCTCTCTCCTGGCTAAGATGGACTACACACTTGATACCCTAGGTGTGGAAACTTGTGCCGGCACGGTTGATGACTGGGACGTTTGTACTAACAGAACAACAATGACATTTAATTATACAACATGTGCATCTGAGATGCTTTATTCAAGTAATGTTATTCGTTTTGTAGCTCGTCTGTTTTCGCAAAAAAAAACCCCGATCTATGTATATATATGATCGCTGCAGCGTCGTCGCCGTTTTGTTAAAACGTTAATGTAACCCATTATTTAAAGATTTTAAAAGTTATCAACATTGCTGTAAGACAATGTGTATAATTTTGAAAGCAATACTTTGGAGTTATTCCCCTTTATTAACTTAGAACTTTTAAAAGACGAGCATTAACACCACATGCGGCGCTCTTGTGACTATTTAAAACACATTTATATGTAAACATATTTATATTATCTCTAGTGTGATGAATATATGAATCTTAATTGACCTGCTCCCCAATATGCAGGAATTAAACAGTTAATGTGTCATATTAGTGAACATAGTCGTAGCCCGATTTTAGTTTGAAATCGTGATTATTGGAATGAGAGGCTGATACCATGTGCTTAACCAGTAAGACACCTTTACCCATAGAAAATTGGCCACTAATAGGGCATCAGAAGGCGACCCCTTCCCTTTACCTCTTGGCTATCACTAGGCCACCGCCTTCCTCTGATAATTGATAAGAAGACAAGTAGCATTCATGATTATTATCTTCTATTGTGGCAAGGTGAAATATATTACAATACACAAAGTACAAGACTCACTATTATTTTGTGCGTTTACATTGTTCACTAACTTGTTAACATCTTGTCCCACATCAAATGATAAATTTCCAGCTCTTCTGGTACAGTTACCACGCGTGAACTACTTGAATCATGAGCAGGTACTTTATTATTCTGGAAAAACGGAGTGAGCGAATGATTTGAACTTTGCACACAAGTTATTGGTCTAGTCCCACGTCAAATGGAACATTAATCTCAAAAACGTATTTCAAGTCCTTCATATCAGAAATCTCAGTGGAGTCCCTTTAAAATTGTAATAATTGACTAATAAAAAAATGAATACTGATTGTTCGTATGTAATAATATTAAATCAAAATATTTCTACTTTGCAGGTGGTGGAGAAGTTTATTGTATGGCTAACCTAACATCAACATACGAATATACCGTGGTCTATAATACGGACGCCTCTCCGACATACAGATTTGCATGTATTGTGAGTAGTAAGAAACTGGGATGTTCTTTGACATAATGCTCGCTCAGGTTTAAGATTTTAAAGCCATCCCGAAATGTCCTCAAACAGTTAAAAAGAATGTACAATATATTTTTTATGTTTAGTAAGTAGAGGATATAATTGCTTTTGTGAATATTGAATATGGTACATGTATTTACGTCTCACTGAATTTTGTAAAGAAATCATTGCCTTGCAATTGCTCTTTTTCAAGGAGTAATAGAGAAATCATAGATAGAAAAAAACACATTATATATATAAGTTATAAAGAATAAGTTATTTCTTTTCTAATTAAACTTATGCTATACGTTTAAAGCGGTAACAAGCTAATGTCTGTGTAAGGTAAAACGGATATTTAGTGTATTATGCAGACAGTTCAATTCTTTCAAGATTCAAACATATATTCCGGATTTTAGGTTTCGAACAGTGCAGGAACGGAGGCGTCAATAGTGTATAAGAATTGTACAATAGATCAGACACCGACAACTAATGCTAAACAACATGATGGAACAAACATTGGTGCTCTTGTAACTATGGAAGCGAAAGGTAATACCGAAATGATTTGAAACAGTTATATATTATTTTGGTTGGGTTTTAAGTCACACTAACATAATATAGTTCCTCTGGTGACTTTCCAGTTTTACTAGTTGATGAAGACCACAGGTGCCCTTCCTTGCATTTTTTCAGGCACGAACGGTCACTTGAGAAGAAGTACCGACGTTCCGTATGCTAGCTGGATAGCTTGCTCACACGAAAGACTTACCTTGATTAGAAATGTGATTTAGTGATTGTGAAAATTATTGCATTTGGACTGCATTTCATGTTTTGTTTGAACAGTTGTTTAATTTTATTTAGAAAGTGTCCATTGACCAAAACAGAAAACAAGACGATGAATTCTTTAAAATTCTAGTAAATGAAATTATCTAAATGATTTTTTTTTCAAATAATCTCAGACTTCAGAAACATTTGTATGCTATTTTATATTAATTCTTAATTTTTTATAAATGCTATCACATTTATAATACGTCTAAAATGTAATAATTTTGAACAACGAGATATACTTCTTTTGGACTTTATAAGAAAAAAAATCTTTATCAATTCTTTATAAGTTGAGGATGAAGCTTGAATCGTAACTTTAAGTAATTTGTAAATACTGATATTATACGAATTGTTAGAAAATGCTATAGCATGTTAATTCTTATTTTTGTACTCTTTTCCAGAAACCTGTCGTAAGTATGATAAATTGTATACCTTAAAATCTACAAAGCATTCCATTTTATACAATAAATTGACTATAACGTACAAGTCTAACAATGTGTTTTAAAGTATACTGTAAATTTATGTAAAACAATAAATTTCTATAGCAAAGAGTCTACACTAAAGCCACACGTTCAAACACAGTTTCGTTACAAACAAGCTCTTTTGAATGGAAATTTGAAAATGAATACATTAACAATATTGCACATCTTCTATCGTTAAGGAGAACCGCAACTTTTATTATTTTTCACGTTTTTATTAGATCTGATTTCGTCTACTAGTATTTTACATATGCATTGAATAATTATAACACTATGAACGAATGAAATGTTTTCAGCTTTTTTGGGACCAACTTCAGCGGCTTCAACAAGTTCTGAGTCGGGGTCTATACTTCCAATTATAATAGGAGCGGTGTTTGGTATTCTTGCAATAGCAATTGTTATTGCAATTTTAATATATTGCTTCAAGTGCAAGAAAAGGTCAGAGGTGAATCACAACGATACAGAAAAACGACGATTGCCAGGTATTATGTGACATGCTGATAAATATTGAAAAAAAAGAAGAAAAAAATAACAACAACAAAAACAATACTGGTAAACGCTGTGCAAACAGCATTCAGTAATTAAGGAATCGTCATAATCCGACAATTTCCGTGTCTCAAAAAACGGAAATCGTCAAAATTGTTGAACTATTAACAAAAGTAATAATTGAGCTGTAAACAATTGTAATGTTATGGCTACTTTTGTACGATTGGTATTTTGAATTGTTTTTATCTTTTATCTGATTCTAGTCGACTTTGTTGTCATGCATATATCATTCTTTTAATTTTGTTTTTTTTGTATGATTATTATTTCACACATTGTATTTATGTGTTTTCAGAAGGTTAATATGAAATATGACATTTAAAATATCAATCTTGCATACGTGCTAACTATGATGCATATAGTCTCGTATACATTGACAGTAATTGTTTTTAACCATCAGTTAAAGTATTCCCCTATACTGGTATAGGGTACAGTCATACATCCATATTGACGGGTGTCAAATATATACGAGTATGGCCGCCGTAAAACGTCACAGCTTTGTTTCACTGTGATTGAGGGATTGCACTATCAATTATATTGTATGGATAGACTTAAAAACTAACCAAATCGTTCATTTTTCACATTTCTGTTTTTGTCATTGTAGACGATGGAGACAACACAAATCCTGCACTGAATGAAACTCCAGCTGGAAGACACACTACCCTCACACCATTGCCACCAAAACACGACGTAATTGATAACACTCCGCGTCCTATCCCACCAATCACAAATCACGTGTGAGAGTAGGCATGTTCTCACGACTTCTATAGTTATTACATTGTTTGTTTTTACACACAACCTTTTTCTGTAACGAAGATCATGTTAGTTAAAAAGATTTTTGCACGATTTAACATGTTGAAATCATTTAAACACTACTGTTTTAATGAACATTCGAGTCAACATTCGTTTTCACTGTTTAAAAGCAAAATATTTTTATTCTGAATTGCCATTTAGTAGAGTTCAGTAAGTGTTGAGTGCACTAGTGCAGAAACGTATTAAAACACTATCAAGTTAAATATCATAAACTATATCATAATCATTCATCTAAAGGATCTTAGGAAAACTTCTAAATATGTGCTGACTGAATAAGCGAACAGTGTAGACTATGATAATTATTAACAGATGTGTCAGCTGATCTTGGTCTGCACCGTCCGCACCGGTTGGGACTGTTGCCGTTAGCAGGCTTTACAGGTTAAGGTAAATGAAATATCAAGGGGTATAAAGAAGGGCAATGGACAACTAGATAGATTCATACATTATCTTATCTGAAATAACAAGTCTCAAAAAATTAAATTTTATTACTGGTTTCGTTAATCTTATGGTCTCTTTTATCGAAAGAATTGTACCATAGAATTTCTCTATTTTCAATACACACGAATCGTGTACGTAAACAGAAAAAAATATGTTTGTCAAAAATAATGTTATGCTGCAAATACTTCAAAAGGAGATTAACCGTTAAGCAATGATTTCCGAAGTGCGCCATTCCCTCAGAATGAAATATACAAAAACTCTTCTTTTATATAAGTATGTTAGAATAATCTATTTTCAAAAGTCACCCACAGGTTTTCAACTACAGACATAAATCAAAATAGCCTTTCATACTTTAATTAGGGTACTACGATCGAGTGTCAGTTAATAACTTGAGTTTGATTTTAGTGAAATATGAAAACAAAAGTAAAAGACCTTTCTAAAAAGGCATATTGTCGTAGATTTATCAATTGTATTTACGTACAATTTGTTACAATTGTATACGCGTACATTTTGATAACTTTAGTCAAGTTGCATGCCTTAATTGCGTTAGAGAAAAATAAACGCACTTTGTATGGGAGATGCTTGCTAATGTTGTTAAGTTCAAAGGCGCTTGTACACAATTTGAATGTTTAATAATCATCCAATGAATTGCTTGAACCATTTGCATGTATTTAATTCACCTAATTCTTCTTTAACCTGTCCATCACAATTTGATTTCACCCTTTTTTTAAAAAATATGTGTGATTTGCGGTGTTTTTTTCTGAATGTATTTCATTTTTAGAAAAAAGAAAGTACATATTTGTACATATACATTAACGCATGAACTCTAATGTTTTTACGTATTCCATTATATTCCAAATGCACATCATAGTTAGAAATGGTGTTCATAGAATTAATTACTTTCGAGTTAAAGCGCTTGATAAATAGAATTCACAGATTTAAATAAGCATCAAAAGTTTGGAATGCCTGTTTTAATTAAAAAAAACTACTTACGAAATAACAACCTTATAATAAGATAATTACCATGGAAACTGTATTCTTTATAAATCTATTAATAAGTATCATTCTGGATATATATTGTTGTAAAATTCACAATTTTTATGTATGTATAAATTTAACTTAGTTTAATTTAATTGCATTTGTTCAAAAAAGAGAAGTGACTGATGATCCTTAAAGAACAATATCGCTGAAATAACGGTTTGAAAGAAAAACAGTAAAAAATGATATAGTCCATCCTTTGATTACAGGGTCAATAACAACATACATAAGCAGTTGAAGCTATACCAATGGCGAAATACGATGAATGTATATATTACTTCATAATATTCAAAGAAGAATGTTTTGAAAAAGTGCATGTGAATTTCTACCGTGATGACGTTTTAACAAAAATGAATAATTATTTCAGTACATTATTTTTTACGTTAATATTGTGATCTTCTTTTTGTCATTGCAAGTTTGTGATTATTTATTGAAAGGTTATGCCTTTTGCCTTTTTTGATAATTCGAGGAATTTATACATAAGATGTTTAAAGCATTCGGAAATATTCAGATTGAAAAATGACACGTCATATGTATAGAACTTTCTATGTTATTTTGCTATATCTTATACTTACAAGTCTCTGAATTTGAAGAAAACTATTAGTAATTATGTGAGTGTAGATAGATGTTCAAGTGTTTCTTAATTTGTTGTTGAGCAGTGTTGTTAAAAATATACATTAATTAGTAATTAACCTACTTAAGGTTTGCAATTGGCTTGATGTTTTTTTTGATAACTTTTGTCCGTTCATTAATTATTTAAGAAAAATATAAAGCAAACTATGAATTAAACAGCTACCAGTATGAATTTTTTTTATTAGACTTTTTGGGCATGCAGGCTGACCAGGCTCTATAGTTGTATTATTTGCAAGTCATTCATTACTTGCCGCTTTCACCTGTATTGTCAATGTTTTAAACTGAGTGTGTCCCATTGAAGATTCTATTTTATAACTGTGATAATTTATACTATTTATTTTTCATTTTATTGTTTTCGCATGTTTTTGTTTTTTTGTATTCTTCTTTGAAATAAAACAGTTTTGAATTGTGGGGAATTGTTTTATGAATGGTATTCTTGTTAAATTACTGCTTATTTTTATATACTCCGTACTAAATCGATTCAGTACAACTGATACTTTTAAAGACAAGGACCAGCTTTTGCATTGTATTGTAAAGAAATAACTTAAACGGTAATTTTTTTTATAACAGATGACCTAAAATGTAAGTCATTTCGTACTTTTTGTGCAATGCTGCCACCAGCCTATCATTATAACCTTTGAATAAGACACATATTTATATAATTTAAATGTAATAAACACCATGATTTATGTTTATAATGTTCGGTGTTGCCAAAGACGGTGTTCTAGGCGTGGACGGCAGCATTAAACATTTCTGTACAGACTCAGTCAAACCGAGTCTGCAACATTTCCTATTTTAGCAGTTTTGGCAAACCTTTGGTTTACTATTTATCTCTTTAAGTAACAAAGCTTGCATTTTATACATACCACTGTTGGGACTTAACAACGTGTTTCCCTCTCTGATTGATGCATACTTCTATACATGACTAGGTTTAATAATATTTTATTGCAACGATATAATACATGTAAGATATGAATAACACAAAAAAACAACAAATGTACATATAAGTATAGTGCAAATGGATTGGGCTACAAGTTATTACAACATTAGCAACAACCCTTACCACAAAGTCAAACTTTAATACATATATTCCGGATAGTTTCATAAGAATAGTTACACAAGTTATTGATTTGTCAGTGGAAGTGAGAAAAAAAATCAAAACGCACACACATGCTCGCTCGCACGCACGCGCACGCACGCACGCACACACACGCACACATATTTATATATATATATATATATTTATATATAACTTTATTTACCTGAATAGTAAGAAAAACGGATATTTTAAATGTAATATAGGTACAAGGCAAGGGGACGTCACGAGTACGATCATGTTTTATTTGTTTATATACTGTAAATGAATTATCTCTCTTCCTGCGTGATAAGGGACATCGCGGTATATTTATAACAAACCAAAGTCCCGACATATTTTGTATTCTTTCCGATGATGATGTAGCAATATGAGCTTGATATTGTAATCGGCCTTCGATCTCAGTTAATTTCAATTTCAGAATTTTGTTATAATACCGGTATGTCTATAAATGAGAATAAAACTTAAGTTATTGTATTTAGAAATGGTGGATTGCTCAGATCATATGGAAAATGGTTCTACAACGACAGTTTGGTAAATGTCACCTCAATGTATAAATACATGTACATGTATATAGATATTTAATTTACACCGACAAAAGCAAAAAACTTAACTTGCTGCACAAGCTAGGAAATCTAATTATGCTATTTAATCATATCAAAGAAATTTCGGAAAATTCTTATACTCTGATTATTTTAAATTATTTGATTCGATGGTAAAACCTATGCTTAACTATGGTGCTGAAATTTAAGGAAGTAAAATCTCCGAAATTCTTGAACAAGTCCGAATACAACATTGACCAGATTTTCTAGGTGTAAATAATTCTGTAAATGATAATAATGCACTTGAAAAATGTTGAAGGATGCCCTTATAATTATGGATTGATCATTATGTAAAAAATAAAAATTATCAAATGTTGGTGTAAACTTTCTTGTATGCCAGAATATAGATATCCCAGAAATTGTTATCTAATGAAAAATTATTGTATATTTATGAGTTTGGTTTTGTTTGGCTAAGTCAAGAAATTGGGGATATCAAACTACTTTTTTATCTATTCAAACGAAGGGTTATTGATGATAAAAAAAATTGGTTGAAAGAAGTTCAAAATTCACCCGGTGTAACTTTCAAACCGATTTTAAATCCAGAAAAAATACTTGTGTATTGATATGCCATTTTATGTAAGGGAATCATTATCCAGATTTTGATGTTCGAGTCATAGAAAGTTTTAATCACTTTTTGGTAACGTTGTATATTTAATGATCCTTTTGTCAAAACATCTACTTTTTCATTTTGCGTAATCCTGTGTTGTTTGATATCCTACAGAATTTGACTTTATATGTAAAATATTTGTCAAAGGCGGCTGTGCCAACTTTGCAGCCATTCTTAGAGTCTCTGTAAATGTGGATAAGCTGTAAATTATGTTATTCTTTGAATTTTGGAAAAACGTTCTTCAAAATGTTCGCTAACTACTAATATTGATATCTGGAGATTAGTAACACGAATACTCAATCAAACCGAGTTTTCAATTTTCATGTTATTTTGTTACGATTGGTGCTTCCATGGGATCACACTTTCTTGAGATTATAATGGTTTGATTTTCTTTGGTTTGCATAATAATTGTCGCTATAATGCGGTTTAAAATTTTTTTAGTAGCTGGATTTTCATAATTTCAAAAATAGTGCTAGAGCTGTATATTGAAGGGAACGTTTTTTCGAGGTAGTAAAAGGAAGTTATTCCTGCACTATGAAAATAACTTTATACCTGCGATGTTTGAAAAGTTGCCTCAGGCAAAACAAAGGTCTTAGTGATGAATAATTTCGAGTATTAAAAACAATCACCTAATCATAATTTAATTGATTTAGGATGAGAATGTAAAATTTTAGTAAAATAGAAAATTTTGATCACCAGTATTAAAAAAACGTCTTTCTATCACTCATCGCTAGTGTTACTACTACTGACCGTTCAAGACGGCCCCCTCTGTGTTCCTTCACATGTATGTCTTGTGTATAGTTGCATGTTTCGAATGTTTACACGTTCTTTGATGTCTTATCTTGTTAGATTCTTGTTAACGGTAAGTACTAGTTCGTTCTGTCCATTCTCCTGTCATCCAATGTTGTGCCCTGTTTTCTCCTCCGACCTTTTCTCCTTACAACTATTGTCCTTTCATTTCCGGTATCGGCCTATTAATAGTTCTTTTCATATTACATGTCCCTCTCGTGCTTTCAAACACTCTTGTGTCCTCTTCCGTTCCGATGCCTTAAACATGATGTGCCGGTATAGCTTGATTGTGTCGGGGGCAAGTTCTGTGAATTTCGCCTTTGCCATATCGATCTTTGCTCTCTAATTTATTATACAGAAGAAAGCTGAATATGACAGCTATCTAAGTCACCCACTTTTAACAAGCGTGCGTACATCCGGGGAGGAATTTTATTTTTTTTACTTTCTAATATTCACCTATCCGTCACCCACACGGGACAAGACCGGAGTGTGGTTTGGAAATTGCCTCCATCGTTTGCATATTTGAGTGGAAGGTTGCACTTTTTAATATGATAGTGGCTTTGTGTTGCATAATTGGTTAAATGTCTGCAGATAATATTTCGGTTTATGATAAACGAAGTGAGGAGTGAAGAATTGGGGTTGAAAAATATGAAAGTAATGAACGGGTTAATTGTTAAATGTAATCAATGTTTATTTCTTATCTTTATTCTTTTAAACATATTTTTAATTATTTGTTTATACATATCTATTTTTCCTCATATGCATGCAATATATACGTAAAATCAAATAGTATACAATATACTATGTATCCAAAATGAAGCATAAGATAAGAATAGAAAATGTCTTAAAAATTCTTTACCGTTTACCTTATCTATTATATAATCTATAATATTAGTCTTTTTGTACTGATATGAGTTTATTTTTGTACTTATATGAGAAGCTCATTTAATAAAGAAAGAATTTTTTTAAAATAAGAAAAATGAGAAATATGAATATGTTTTAAAAGATAACAATAAATAAAAAAAAACTGATAGTACTGTTAAAAAGCTTAAAGTAATAATCGTAAAAATCGTAAAAATAAGTAAAACATACTTAAATGAAGGAGTAGAAGAGAAGCAAAAATAAAATGAAATTAAAATATAATTTTCCCTTCTATTCTTCAAGTCAGGAGGATCTTTTGTAAAATATACAACTTCTTGCCCACCATTTACTAAGTTAATGGTCCTTAAACGTTCATTATATACTTGCAGCATAATTTGCATCCATACGTACAGACAGTAAAGTTTGAAGACAACTGTTATTCAAGTGAAAAGAAAAAAAAACTAAGAAATTATCAAAATGCCTAACAGATTAATCTTTGATTTAAACATGAAAGCATTCGCACTATAAACTTAGCTGACTGTATGTAGATACAGCAAAAGAAAAATAATAGGTAATTAGACGAATAACAGACAAAAGTAAAAAAAAAAAACATGTACAATGATGACATTAATATAAAAAACATTAAATGTGTAACACGAACGTAGATATAAAAATTTAAAATTCCTTACTTTAGTCAATTTTGTATCAAACTTACCACTTTTTTGTTATATAGAAACGTCGGAATGCAATAACTTTTTTTTGTAACGTTCAATCCCCACAGTTAGACATAATGTAACAATTTTGCATAAAATGGACCAGTTCATCAAACAATCCAAGGTAATGTTTTCATGAATTGACTTTGCATTTATTCGTTACTGTTCAGAAAAATAAATACAAAACACTATAATAATATATTAAATATGATGTTTTAAGCATCAATCTGTAAAACTTTTAGTAAATGTCAAATATTACTTTTTTGTCTTTGTTAAATATAAACCTTAATCTTAACCTTTAAACTTATTGTAACCAATAAACTTCAAGCGTTTACACCATGGATTCATCCAATATAAATCATTGGATAGCTGGCGTTTAACAGCTATGTATTCGTTTGTATATTGAAATCGCAATGCATAAAAATTACCTCTAACTATTTATCAAGATATAACAAAACTACAACAACAACAATAAAAACACCAACACCCCCCACCCCCAAAAAAAACCCCAGTTAATCGACATCATTTTTTGTGCAAGGAGCAAGTGTTCAGTATGAAATTGCAATTAAGCAGATCCATCAATGTACCACTGTGGCAGAAAATTGTATTCCGAGTTCTTGAGCGGTTGACTGCACACGATTCGTGTATCCGGTGACCACTTCAGTGTATGCACTATTCTGAAAGTACCAATAGAAACAAAATGTATGTTAATCCGTAAGACGAGTTATGTGTATAGTTTTGTACAATGACTTGTAATATGTAACGTTTAGAAATTCCCTCGTGTAATGTTATACACTAGGACTTGCAACAATAAGTAAAATAACCAAAGACTATTAGCAATGTAACTTATGTATTGTCAGACAATTGGCCTTTAAGTGAATCATTTTTAAACACTATGACTTAAAAATTGTGATATTTGGTTCTAAAATTCATCATTATTGTGTAATGTTAGTTTTTCGGATCTTTATTACGTACTAGTACAGAATCATATGAAATGAACTATTTCTCACTTGGACTTATAGTTGTAATATTTTGTACAAGGACTTATAACGTGTTATGTTTTGTATTATTACTTTGCAATATATAATTGCAATATCATACACACGGACTGACAATATTTAATATTAGGTACAAGGACCTATAAGGTTTATTGTAGACACTAGAACTTGAAATGTAATTTAAGACCCTAAGTCTTATAATGTGTAATGTTTGGTACTGGTACTTAAAATGCTCAATGTGAAGTATTAGAACTTTACAATTGATGTGCGCATAATCGGAAAATGATTTCTTTCTAGACAAAGTTGTAAATAGATGCATGAAGACAAAATGCATAACAAAACTTAAGAAATCATGACTACTTTGTATTCTTTATAATTAATGATATGCATACTCTTACATACATGGTGTGCACTGAATATTCTGAATTGTATTGATTGTAATTCTTAACCCCTTTAATTACTTGATTGGCTGTTTAAGAGTTAATGATGATTCTGTCTCTTTCTGGGGAGAAACTATGTTTGTTGAAATTCACTTAGACATGACGAAATCAAACTTCACCTACACGTCAAGGCATTAAGAATGTACTATTGGCAGCCATCAACTTTAAGGAAGTTTGTGTAAAAAGTAAGTAGTAGCAGAAGACGACGACAGAAAACTGTATATTTTTGATCATTGAACAAACGAAGCAGAGTTTGTATCAATCTAGAGTTGCGCTAGAGGGATTTTTGTAGGCTAAACTTGTTTAATGCATGTGCATCAGATATAACTGAATACATGTAAATGCATTACAAAACATATTATAAAATCTTACTTGGGGTCGTCGATCCTTATGGAGTCTTTGATAAATGTGAGAAATTTATCCAGGAAATTTGTACACACGTTTGGTTTCCATGGAATATACACATCCTGTAAAGTTGCAAGACATGGTTTACAGTTATGAAGCATCAGCATATGTAGAATAAGGCATCTTATTATCAAAGCTTAATCTCAAAACAGAAATCATGGAGGGATAAACACCTGTTCAATTTTCTTTAATAAATTAAAAAAAATATTTCAATAATTAATAAACAAAATCATTACTTCTTTTGCAAAATCTGGCAACGAGCCTGTATTACAGAATTCCAACCGTTTAACAACACCATTTTCATCTCTAAATCCACAGACGATGTTCTTTATTCCAATAAGGTGACTTTGTGCCCACCACTTTTTTATCTTGAACCTGTTTCAAATATACAAATATTTTTGACATTTTATCTAAGGCTTATCTATGGCGTGAAGGATGTTGCACGCATTCATTATCTCTCATGTACAGACTCAATAAAACCGAGTCTGCAATTCATTTGTAATTTTGTTGTGATTAATGCTTCCGAGGGATCACTTTGTTTCAAGATTTTTAATGTTAAACCTATGCAAAACCTTGGTAAAATATTTTGAAAACTCCGGATATCAAATAAAGTATGATATTGTAACTCGTAAATCCGACGTTTAAAACGGGTTTAGGTTACGTAAATTATTATCCATTTCATATTGCATAATATTTTTATTTGTATTACGAATATTTTGATATCGAAGAAAGATATGTTGTCATGTTCATTAGTATAAGCAATTCGCTCGTCTAAATGGTCAATATTGCTTTATTGCGTGTATACAACTTTTTATATTAAAAGGCTTTCGTTGTATGTATCAATTGGTATATTTGGCTGTAGAAAAGGGACTCGCTACGTGTAACAGGAATAATTTGCCTTTATGATATTTTTGAATTTTATTCATTATATCCATCATAAATCACTTACTCTTTCAAAAGTCTTTTTCATGTGAAATGGTATAAATAATTTTGCCTTTCAAATCGTTTTTGTAATCTGTATTGTGAATCATTTGTTCATTCAAAAGGCTTTGTTTTATTTCAAAGTTGGTATATCGAAATTATGATATAAATGAATGACTTGTCATTTAATCAGCGGATATTTTACATCGGTTTCACTGAAAATAGGGAATAAAAGAAGAACAAAAAACACACGCAAAAATAAACAACATAATTTTGAACAAAATGTGATTAATTTTTTTCTGAATACATTTGAATACATCATTTTCTGAACTGAGTTTTACATAAAATCTTTTAATGACCACATCAATAGTACTAGTAACAAAATTATCATGTGAAAATTATTTAGCATAGACACAAATCGTATGGCAACATACGGATTTCATTAATAATTCAATATAATGTGTACTAAATATAATCTATTAACAGTAATTTCCTAGCCTTTTGAACGTTTTGATATGTCCGTCATGAGCAATTTCCTTAGTTGTTTTGAACTCCATGTAGTAGTTACCATAGACATCATCAATATTAAGTGCGTCTATCTCACCGGAATAAACTGTAATAACAAAACCTCTATATTCAAATTCCATGTCGTTCGGATCAATCAATTATTTAATAAATCGATATTTGTTTAGAGAGGATAACGATAGTTAATAACTTAATACTATTTCAATGGTCGGATCAATAACGTCGATAATATATTCAGGAACATTTGCGTTTTACATAATGCGACAACGTTTTAAAGTTCCAATGGAAAGTATTGATTGTGTAAGATATAAATCTGGTTCCTCTCTGGAAAGAGTAAAATGTTATATATCGATCTTTACGTACTGATTTAAAAGCAAAAAGCTTTATTATGAAAAAATACATCTCAACATTTTAAAAAAAATACGTTATTGATTAAACCATTCCAATTGTTGACAAATTCTGTTCTTACCTAACGAATGCATGTTTATTTCTGTTTTAACAACCGTATAGAATTTTTCACAGTTGTTGTAAGGTACATCAGTTTTCGGGCGTCCATCCTTGGTATCTTAAATTTGAATGTTTTCTCATGTTAAGTTTATTCATGAAAGACAACTATAAAAAACAAGGAATGAATGACAAAGGAAAAAGTATTACGTCTTGTACAACAGTTATTTGACGTATTTGTTCATTTTTTTATTTTATGAGTATTTTCAGAAACATTGCTTGATATGTTAACGGTGTTCTTTTTGTTTTATATTACTTTTTTATTAAGTTTCCTTCTCTTATTTCATCTATTATGTATATTCAATACCTTATTATGAATTTTATAAGTAATTCAGATGAGAAGCAAATTGTATAACGATTGCATACTTGATTGAACAATAATCGATGGTATGTTTAATTATCAACAAAACGATGATAACGCTTCTTTAGTAACACGTCGTCGGACTCTATTAGGTTTATATAAATTTAAACATTGCTACATTATTCTAACGGGAAAAGTATTGACAAGTACACAAATAAGAGGTTTAACTTAGCTTTAGGCTCTGACTATGGAAATTATATTGACCTACATGTATATATAACTTTTCAACGTTTGCAGGCTTTTGTTTCTACTCTGATGGTCAAAAGGACAAAATAAGTGTGAGATCTAAATACATTCAAAGGTTGCGAATGTTTATACATTTTAACAATATTTTTATAAAGTCTGATTGTTTTGAAATTTATTTGACTCATTCAACAAGAGGCGTGCTGTTTTCAAAAGAAATCTTACTAAAACATAGTTTAAATATTTTCAAGGTAAATTTGGAAGGAAACAAGACAATACCTGCTGTAAGGTATTGTTCAAATTTCCATCCCATACACTTCACTTTATTATTTTCATCTTCGGCCTCTTGTTTTTTTCTTTCTTCTGTAAGAATCTCATTGAGGTAGTAGGTCCCGTTGTAATAAACAACAGCAATGAACCAGCCCTCTTTGTCCTCATACGGTGAAAGCATTACTTTAGTAAGCAATCCACGTCGACACACAAAATCCACACCAAGCTTTCTGTGGGCAGACCGCAACACATAAAGTTCTCATTGTTTATTATTGTAGGGCAAATTAAAAATTAATCTACATACTTATTTCGAAGAAGAAAATTTATATGAAATTTAAAGACGTAAATCATACAGTTACATAACACCGCATACGCGGTACGAAATAGAAATTTGGTTGATAACGCAAAAGCAAACCAATATAGTTCAGGAAATTTAATCTAATACATTTTAATTTCAGATGAATTGCTGACCCAAACCCTTATATCAGTTTATCAATTAATTAAATATTCACGGTAACATGATAAAGTCAACGAATTTCAGATGTTTAAAAAAATGTACCTCGGATTTGCGTTCAAACATTCCCCGCTTTTATTGGTCTCCATTCCCCTTGGCTCAGTCTCTAAGTCTTCAACTTCTTTGTCAGTGCTTTCTTGGTCACCCCCTTGCTTTCTTCCCTAAACCAAACATTACAATGTTAACATAACTTGTATAAGATTTCGTTTACAAATATTCAATTACTTATATCTTAGTGTAGGCGAGCTGTTCAGAATGTTATGATATGAAAGCTCTTATACTTGCTCTATATCTAAGATCTACTTTTTTTTTTTTTATAAAACTTTCATTGTCAACTTTGTAACATTTTATGTACATCAGATTACGCATTACGAAGTTATTGTGCAGTACATAAGTGTTACCAGATACATTATGTATTTTTATAGTTTATACAAAGAATAAAAAGGACGTGGTGATTAAGTGCTAGCAATATTTTGAATTAATATAAAGTAACCATGATGACATGCGAGCAAACATTTATTTACTACTTTGAACCACAGGGATGCAAACATGATTAACAATGGGTTCGTGATGAACAAACAAGACCGATAAACGCCTTAGGAACCAGAAGTGCAAAGAATGTAAGTTTCGCTATATTCTTTTATTCGTAAGGCATTGCGAAGCAAGTTTCAGTTTCAGTTGGCAAAATATCACTTGTCACTTTTATAATAGTAATTTCAAAACATTTTCTCAAATCGTCACTCCTCCACGTAAAAATGACTCAGTAAAGTTGAGTGGCCCAAATATGATACCCTCCCTGTTCTATCTGCTGTAAGGCCGGGTATACTTTGTTGTCACAAATTGAAAAAAACAACGTCCTGCATCGTATATTGTGGTTTGAAGTTCATTTAAATAGTAACATTTATGTATGCTCCACGGGGAAGCATTTAAGACATAGAAAAATAAGAATAGCAAATTGTAAACGTATTGCTAAAACACTTTGTATTTTTTAAATAAATAAAGTACAATATCCAATAGCTTTTTTGTTATCCATGAAGCATTCGAACTTTTAAACCCTATAATTTTTATAAATTTGTTGAGATATGACTGATTAAATACAAAGGACGAGATAGTCTATCATAAGATTCTTTCTCGTTCCTGTTTTTACTAGTATCGTTAGAAAGTTATATACAACGCATGTTCTTCCAGTTTCCATTATAGATGATGCCTTCTAAATTACGAGGGTTATTCAGACAGAACAAGAACTTAACAGGACTAAGAGTCTTCCATCTTCTTTTCAAATGTAGGGCGATTAGTTAAATAATTTCCACAAAAAGAGCACATGTGTATTAAACTATAATTATGTTAAACAAACGTTACCAGTGATATAGTATAAGCACGGTTACAAACATCCAGTGAAGCGTATCAAGAAGATTTTGAAGCTAAGTTTTACTTCTAGTTTAAGAATAAATAGTTGTCTGTTTTTTATATACTGGTATGTGTAATACCGATGTTTGTTAAAGAAAAACTGAGCAAATATGCATATAAATAAGAGGCACATTGTATAAAAAATAAATTGACCTGGTGATTTGTAGCATCCATTGAACTTGCTTGTCTCGAGGCTCCTTCACATTGCCTTAAAATATAAACAATGTTGGATAAATGAATAAATAAATAAAAAAATAATTAAATAAATAAACATCCATGTGTTTTAAAGCTATATCATAATTTGTAAACACAGGATTGTTTTCCGTTTTAAACCATAGCCACCTGTGAACCTGAACGCCAAAACGGCATTGTTAAACCTTTATTATTAAGCGTTCCACTTAAGATTATCGATGTTTAAAGTTTAAGTGAAGCAAAAATAAATGCAATACATGGTACAGCGTATCTTTTGTTGTCGACAACTCGCGTGAGATCAAAGTATTGGTTAAGGGGTTATTAAATCAAAATTTAAATAGAAACGGGTTTATTACACGGGCGAAAATTGTTATTTTGAAAAACTCATCATAATCGTCAAGTCAAATATTGGTCAAAGTTAAATGCAATTAATTTTACTTAAGGCGTTTGCCAAGAATTAATACAATACATCCATTATAAATAATGACGACATTGTAAATTTAAACGTCGAGGTGTTTTATATGTTATAAGTAAATTTCTTAAATATGCGGAACTAAACTTCATGTACATAATTCTTGGTAATTATTATTAAATTCGCTTGGCGTTTGACTAGAATCGTTAATAAGTGTCGGAAGACACCCAGACGACAAGACATTCAGACTGTCAAACAGTCAAATAACCTAAAAGCAGTATACTCCATAACAAATTTGCTATGCAGGGGTATAAAAAAATCACAAAAGTAAAATTAGAACCATGTGCTTTATGATATTAAAAAACGATATCCTGTTATATGAGCCCCGTCCATCTACTGTAATAAAATATTACAAGGAATCAAATTATCAGCATGAAAGTGCTTGAAGCAACCAGTCCTTAAGTTCTTCATGACTAGTTCTTGAAAACGATACATTTTATCAGTCATATATATTTCTCAATGATACAAGTAACAAAAAAAAAAACATATCTAAAATTCAGAACCCCGGCTATTGCAAAGCAGTGTCAAATCAGGGGCCACAATAGAACATTGAATGTGTGTGTCGGAAGAATTCTAGATTTGGTTTTTATTTGAATTTAGAAGGATAATGGATTCGGTTTTACCAGCACAAGGTTGAGGCAGAGTAGCTCCACTTGATTTGATAATTCTTATTTCGGGTAAAGCTACAAGGTTTCCATTTGGATGAAACTTATATAAACCCCAAAATGTAACAACATCCTCAATCATAATTCTCAATAGAAATTGGCTAAAGCACACAAAATAGTCATTAAACCGTTGAAAGATACAAAATGAAGAATCAAAATTTCATAAAGAAAAACATCCTCAAAACTAAATGCATCTTTATCTACAACACAAATATTTTCAAAAAATTAATCAATCAACCATTATAACTAAAATGCCACAAAACACAACTTATTTCCAATCTATTCAGATAAAACTTCTCCAATCAAAGACAAAATTGTCTTCTGAAACACATGATAAAGCAAAAATTTTCAGCTGCATTATTAATGAGTGTGTCACCTATTCTTATCTCAAATCGCCTCCAAATGTTGGTCATCATAAAATCAATAATGCGCTTCATTTTTATCTTTATAGTATATATTTAATGCAAACAGCGACTTTACAAGTAGTAAATGTTACCATTGAAAAGTTGTGATCATGTTTCCAAGGACGTAAACACTAAAATCAATTTATATTTTTCGAAATTGAAATGTCTTGTTTTTCACGGAAAGCTTCAGGCTTCTTCGAAATCTTGTTTCATGTTAAAACTCAAAAACAAAATCATTCGCCTTAAAGAGATGCTAGTTATTAAAGTGAAATGGTTCAAAATGGAAAATATGTATTATCAATATATGGTCCTATGTGATATGTCTATAGAAAATGGCAAATTATTCTAGATCAAAATATTTTTTATCCTTCATAAAATGTTCAGTTTTGAACATTATTAATTTTTCTGTTCAATCTTTTCTATAATTATATTCAAATAAAATATGTCTTTTCTTTAAGAAAAATATTTGAAATGCTGATGGGAAATGTGCCCCCTGTAGACCAATTCACTGTGTCTGTCTTTCATTAAAAAGTCTGTTCTCCAATAATTTTCAGAAAATGTTAAAGATAATTCATCGTTTATTATAGTGGCGTATGTATGTTTTTGTATTTAAGTCTAGTACCCAGACTTAAGTTAATGTACATATCTGATTCTGGCAATTGAAAAAAACATGATACCATAGTATGCAATCTGAGCAATGTTCTTACTTGACAACTATTACAATATGATTAAAAAGAAATTAGAAAAAAAAAAACACAACAAACAAAATAATTCCTTATGTCCCAATCAATAAAAGGGTTACCGTGTATTGCCTTTGTCTGCACTTATTGGAAACTTATCCTTATTGGCATTTATCCACTGCAAAACATTAATGTCATTTCCTTTTTCCTTTATATTTCTTGTATCATATCCTTTCTGTAAATCAAACTTAATGTCTTTTGGCATGACGAAATACTTTAAACTTGTTCTAGAATTCTTAAAATCATTGTTGATATCGAGCGAAAAAAATCCTATTTCCTCTGGATCTTTAAAGGGTACAGGGGAGCGATCCAATTCTGAAAGATTTATTGAAAGATAAGAATCCATTTTTAATTAATTGTATTAACACCTAAGTCAAAATGTATCTTCCTGTTAGATATTTAAATGATATATGTTATAAAACAAGTACTTCGAATGTTTCGTCTTCTTTGTGGGTTGTACACTTAAAATATTAATGTTGTAAGGCAAAGGAAACGCTCACTGTAAACCAATGTCTGGTTTGCATTTTCTTTATATACGCCTGGGTCACATGTTTTAACATGTGGATTATTTTCCGCGTTTTACTAAAACAAACCGACTCTTTTGAAAAAAAAAAACACACACACACAAATAAATATTTTATGATACACGAGTATACTGTATTGTATGGTGACTGTTTTACGCCATGTCATATTTTTGCTTCTTCGCCTCAATATGCGAAAACAACGACTTTGTCGTCCCTTCGTTCTTTTGCTTTATCCAATTTTCGAGGCAAAAAAGCAAAACTACGGCTAAAGAATGGCGAAAATACGACACATAAAATAAGTCGGATATTCACTTTCCATCCGTCGTATTTTCGCTTTTGTGCGTTAAAAAAAACAAAAAAGCGAAAACACAAAGAAGCGACAAAGTATAACTTTGGATGTACATGCATTTCTTTACTTAAGGACCATACGTCGGTGTTCATGTATCACATTGAAGTTTCCATCATAGTAGCCGAATGAACGCATCTGCGGATGTTTTTAAATTCAAAATTTCACAGTTTTAATGTTTAAATGTTGAATACTTCTTAAACCCTTGTTGAGGGATGGACCTAAGCTTGCGTTTCTGTAAAATGTATGACAAAAATATCTATTTAGGGCTTTTGCTTAGCAGTCAATAAAATTTAATTATCAGGAATTCTCGTTTTAAATGTGAAATGATTTTCAATGGCAATTGTGCTTACTTTAAAGCCACTCTTAGAGTATAATGTGGATAAGTTTTTCAAGTTCTTCTTTGTTTTTTTTTTAAAAATAACCTTCTAAAATCCGAGAGAATTCCATGGGATTTTTTTCTTTATTTAAGTACAGCCGACTTTCGTTATCTCGAAGTCATCGGGACTGACAATAAAATATCGAAATTACGAAATGTCGAGATAAACGTATAAGGTTTTGATCCAGTCATAAACTGACTTTAACAAAAACCGTATGCATACCTAATATGAATCAAATTAACTAAGAATGATGTCTCCATGTCTTGTTTTCGTGAGCCTAATTTTGTAAAGTTAATATTTAATAAATTTGTTAGCGAACGTTTACCAGCGGAACTACGACAACTTGTGATAAACACACAGGTACTTAGTTATACACAAATAAAGCAAACCCGTTGTTTTCAGCTGTGGTCGATCCAGATATCCTTACGGGTTGGTAATCGGACAGATTGTTCGAATATATTATACATAACGGAAAAAATCATTCATTTCCGAAGTAAGTCAATCAACACGGTAATAAGATCAAAGTTTATAAAAATGATCCGCTTGTAACAAACACATTTATTGATTATGACACGCGCCAATGAGCGAGAAACCGGTCGCTTTATGTGTTTTCACACCTCTGCGGGAGGAGAGAGTGGTAGTCTTACATCTAATCATGTATTCCTTAGATAGATTTTTAAGGATACCATTGATCCATGTACCATCAAAGACTGTTTCGAGCTGTTTCGAAAATTGATACCAGGTGTTGTATATTTACAAAAGCTTCTATAATGAAACAAGATGAACGTTCGACCTACATTGTCGGCGAAGTTCTGTATAATTTATGCCTTGAGATTCAGGAAGGAAGTTATGAGAAATATTAATATTTCTTTCAAATGTGTTGAGCGTCTTTCTATCACTCATCGTTGAACAATGCATTTTTGCAACTTATCTTTTTGTATGGAATGAACTTTCGAGCAATCATCAGCTTTATCTTCGGAAATGAAATTAAAAATCGGTCTGTATACAGAGTCGGTTTAAGATTTCATAATCAGAGCAGTCATCAATTTGAAATAGTAACGTTATTCATTCAGTACAAAGTCATGTGTTGTCAATAATTACGGAAAATGGTCACCGCCCTAATGGTCATCTAAAACAGTCCAATTGAAGCCAAAGTAAAATATAAAATGGACCAAAGAAAGGTCAATGTAAAAAAGTTGCTTAAGCAGGATGTAAGTATATTGATGTTTTTTTTGTTTAAATGACAAAATGACACAGTTTCTTAATTTCTCAGTAATATCTCTTGTTAAATGGCAGCCATACATGGAATAAAGTCGCCTAAAATGGTGATGAAAGATAAACATCTTTATTATCAATATTTTGAAAATCGTCAACCGGTCATTGTTTCATTTGGAAAAAATTGTTACGCGTCGATGTGAGGTAACCTGCACAAGTAAGGATTGCAATATTGAATTTAATTTTAATGCACTTTTAAGGAAAGCTGTTGCAACCACAATGCTATAATTGTCCATGTTTTTTAGTTACTACTATATAAATGAACTTAAGTTTAGATTTAGTATAGATTGGTATATGGAAACCTCAACGTCGAGTCAGTATCTTTAAGTATATCGAATCTATTTACTGTATTGAGATCGGTTTCAGCATAGCCTTCTCTACACGGCCAGTAATGACGATTTATTCTTTTAGTGATTGTCTTTGAGAAACTTTGTCCGTAAATGCAATTTTACCTCGTAACTGGTGCAGCGGGCTTTGGAGAACACTTCGATGGTGAATGATTCTGCACAAACGTAGACTGTTTTATGAAGGAGAAATAATGACAATGGCTTATGAGGGTAACTTCCATATAGTCTGATGTGCACTGCAGTTAACCATTTAAACTCTCCGCTAGTGTTATAACTACTGACCGTTCCAAGGGGTACCCCTCTGAGTTCCTTCAAATGCATGTCTTGTGAATAGTTACATGTTTTCACGTTCTGTGATGTCTTATCTTGTGAAATCCTGTAAACGGTAAGTACTAGTTCTTTCTGTCCATTCAACTGTTATCCCATTTTGTTCCCTATTCCCTCCTCCGACCGTTTTTCCTTACACCCATTGTCCTTTCATTTCCGATATCGCAATCGGAACGTCCTCGGTTATTATCTATAATAACATCGGAGTTAATGCGGATTGAAAGGAGTTCCACCACGTGGTTTCAGATCTAAATATAGTCAGAGAGTGCAATCTTTGCTATTGTAAAACGAATGTATATATTTTGACATACAAATGTTCGGTACAGTTATGATTGAAAATATGTCTGACAAACATTTTTAAATTAAGTATGCCCACTGATGTAGAATTTGAAACAAATCCGACTAAATGTCAATAGATTGGCATTTTTTACTTTCGGTTTCTACAAACATAATAATAAAATTAATATATAAATAATGTATTGTTTGTTTTTGTATCTATCAATTCACTTATTTCAGGTCGACTTAAACTTGATATATTGGAAATAAACGTGTCATCAACTCCCAGCATTAAATTACTATTTGTTTACATGTTTAGTTTCTTAGCGTAGGTTAGATACGAATACCGCATCCGTTCTGTGTATTCATACTATTGTGATCGAGGTCCTTATCCGAAGACTGAGGAGTTGCGATTGCTAGTATCGACCTATTAGTTCTTTTCATATTACTTATTTATTATATGTCCCTTTCGTACTTTCACCACTCTTGTGTCCTCTTCCGTTTTGATGCCTTCTACATGCTCTGTCCGTATGGCTTGATTGTGTCGAGGGCTGCGTTCTGTGGATTTTGCCTTTGCTTTGTTGATCTTTGCTCTCTTATTTATTATACAGAAGGAAGCTGAATATGACAGCTATCTTAGTTCCGTACTTTCAACAAGCGTGCGTACATCCGGAGAGGACTTTGTTTTATTTTATTGATTACGAACAATTATCCTTTCAGTCACCCACACGGGACAAGACCGGGAGGTGGCTTTAAAATTGCCTTCATCGTTTGCATATTTGACAGGAAGGTTGCACTTTTTAATATAGTCGTGGCTTGTGTTGGTTAAATGTCTGCAGATAGTGTTTCGCTTTATGAGGAGTGAAGAATTGGGGTTAAAAATGAATGAACGTGTTAATTGTTAAATGAACTCATTGTTTAGTAATCATCTTTATTCTTTTCAACATATTTTAATCATTTCTTTAAACATATCTATTTTGCCACATATATATATTTACGTAAATATGGAGACATTAATCAAATAATATACAATATACAATGTATCCAAATACAGAAAGAAGTATAAGATTAGTCAAGAAAATGTCTTATAAATTCATTACCGTTTTGTTAATCTATAATATTAGTCTTTTTGTACTGATATGATTTTATTTTTGTACTAATACGATAAGCTCATTTTATTATGAAATTATTTCTAAAATACGAAAAAATGAGAAATATGAATATGTGTTAAAAGATAACAATTATTAAAAAGCTGAGAGTATTGTTAAAAACCTTACAGTAATAAAAATTGTAAACATAAGTAAGACATAGGTTTAATGAGGAGTAGAAAGAGGGAAAAAAAGAAAAGGAAATTGAAATATCTTTTTTCCTTCAATTCTTCAAGGAGGACCTTTTGCAAAATATACAACTTCTTGCCCACCATAAACTAAGCAAATGGTCCTTAATCGTTCATTATAGACCTAAGAATGAAGCATAATTGTCATCCACACGTGCAGACAGTATATATTTATAATATAACAACTGTTATTCAATTGAAAAGAAAAAACTAAAAAATTATCCAAATGGCTAAAAAAATAATCTTTGATGTTTCAAACATGAAAGCATTAACACTATAAACTTGAATGTAAGCAGATAAGTATAAGATAGATTAAAGGTAGATAGATCAATAAAAGACAAAAGTAAAATAAAAACATGTACAATGACGACATTACGATATAAAAACGTCGGAATCCAACAACTTGGTTTTGTAACTTATTATCCCCACATTTAGACATAATGTAACAATTTTGCATAAAGTGGACCAGCTTATCAAACAATCCAAGGTAATGTTTTGATAAATTGACTTTACATTTATTCGTTACTGTTCAGAAAAATAAACACAAAACACTATATGTCTAGATTAAATATGATGTTTTAAGCATCTATCTGTAAAACTTTTCGAAAATGTCAAATATTACTTTTTGTCATGGTTAAATATAAACCTTAATTTTAACCTTTAAACTTATTGTAACCAATGAACTTCAAAGGTTTACACCATGGAATCGTCCAATATAAATCATTGGATAGCTGGCGTTTAATAGCTATGTATCTGTTCGTAAACCAGAATCGCAATGCATAAAAATTACCTCTAACTATATATCAAGAAATAATAAAACAACAACAACAAAAAACACCCTAACCCCCAAAAAACAGTTAATCGACATTATTTTTTTGCAAATAGCAAGTGTTCAATTAAGCAGATCCATCAATGTACCACTGTGGCAGAAAATTGTGTTCCGAGTTCTTGAGGGGTTGACTGCACACGATTCGTGTTCCCGGTGACCACTTTAGTGTATGCACTATTCTGAAAGTACCAATAGAAACAAAATGTAATGTTAATCCGTAAGACGAGTTATGTGTATAGTTTTGTACAATGACTTGTAATATGTAACGTTTAGAAATTCCCACGTGTAATGTTATACACTAGGACTGGCAACAATAAGTGAACTAACCAAAGACTATTAGCAATGTAATTTATGTATTGTCAGACAATTGGCCTTTAAGTGAATCATTTTAAACACTATGACTTAAAAGTTGTGATGTTTGGTTCTAAAATTCATCATTATTGTGTAATGTTAGTTTTTCGGATCTTTTTTACGTAAAAACTAGTACAGAAACTTATGATATGAACTACTTCTCACTTGGACTTATAATTTATAACATTTTGTACAATGACTTATAACGTGTTATGTTTTGTACTATTTATTACTTTGCAATATATAATTGCAATAGCATACAAACGGAATGACAATATTTAACATTAAGTACAAGGACCTTTAAGTTGTATTGTAGACACTAGAACTTGGAGTGTAATGTTAGACTCCAAGTCTTATAATGTGTAATGTTTGGTACTGGCACCTAAAATGTTCAATGTTAAGTAGTAGAACTTTACAAGTGGTGTACGCATAAACGGAAAATGATTTCTTTCTAGACAAAGTTGTAAATAGATGCATGAAGACAAAATGCATAACAAAACTTAAGAAATCATAAATACTTTGTATTTGTTATAATTAATGATATGTATACTCTTACATACAGGGTGTGCACTGTATATTCTGAATTGTATTGATTGTAATTCTTAACCCCTTTAATTACTTTATTGGCTGTTTAAGATTTAATGATGATTCTGTCTCTTTCTGATGAGAAACCATGTTTGTTGAAATTCACTCAGACATGACGAAATTAAACTTCACCTATACGTCAAGGCATTAAGAATGTACTTTTGGCAGCCATCAACTTTAAGGAAGTTTGTTTTTGAATTTTGAGTAAAACGTAAGTAGTAGCAGAAGACGACGATGGAATACTGTATATTTTTGATCATTGAACAAACGAAGCAGAGTTTGTATCAATCTAGAGTTGCCCTAGAGGGATTTTTTTGTAGGCTAAACTTGTTTAATGCATGTGCATCAGATATAACTGAATACATGTATATGCATTACAAAACATATTATGAAATCTTACTTGGGGTCGTCGATCCTAATAGAGTCTTTGATAAATGTGAGAAATTTATCCAGGAAATTTGTACACACGTTTGGTTTCCATGGATTATACACATCCTGTAAAGTTGCAAGACATGGCTTACAGTTATGAAGCATCAGCATATGTAAAACAAGGCATCTTATTATCAAAAATCAGCATGATACACATAATATTAGCTAAATCTCAGAACAGAAATCATGGAGTGATAAACACCTGTTAAATTTTCTTTAATAAAATTCAAAAAAATATTTCAACAAATAATAAACAAAATCATTACTCTAGCAAAATCTGGCAACGACTTTGTGTCATAGAATTCCAACCGTTTAACAACACCACTTTCATCTCTAAATCCACAGACGATAGTCTTTATTCCAATAAGGTGACTTTGTGCCCACCACTTTTTTGTCTTGAACCTGTTTCAAATATAAGAGTATTTTTAAAATGTAATCTTTGGCTAATGTAAAACCAATGCCTTGACACATTTGTGAAATATTTTTAAAACTCCGAATATCAATTAAAGTATTATATTTGAACTCGTAAATCTGTCCTTTCAAACGGTTTTAGTTAACGTGAATCTTTTTCATATTGCATACTGTGTGTATAACTAATCACTTGTTATGTTGCTGTATGCATTAATTTGGCTCTAAAAAAGGGCATTGTAACAGGAAATAATTTGTCTTTTTTTTAAGTTTTGAATTTTATTTATTATGTCTATTATGAATGACTTACTCTTTCAAAAGTCTTTTTCATGTAAAATGTTATGAATCATTTATTTAGTCTTCCAAATCGTTTTTGCAATGCGAATTGTGAACCATAAATAAATCGACTTTTCATTTAGTCAGCAGTTCATTGATAATAGGGGGGAAAAGAAGAACAAAAAACACACGCAAAAATAAACAACATAATTTAGAACAAAATGGTATCTGACATCATTTTCTGAACTGATTTTTACATAGAATCTTTATATGACCACATCAATAGTACTAGTAACAATATACTTTTGTGAAAATTATTTAGCATAGACTCAAATCTCATGGCAACATAAGGATTTCATTAATAACTCAACATACAGTAAACTCCGCTTATAACGAACTAATTGGGACATTCAAAATCTGTTCCTTATATCCGGAGTTCCTTGTAAGCATATAGCGAATTAGTTCCCTGTATCAGGAGTTTTTATAGCGATTTACATATAACGAACTGATTGTTTACCATCGTCCTCCATTTTGAAGAGCATTTGATTAAGAAATATTAGTCATATATTCAATACCCGAGAACGTACTGTTTGGAATTTAAATAATTGCTATTCCAGTTTAAGATTTACTACCTATGTCAATTTCTCATAAAATATAATATTTTGTTTCTAAACTCTTTTCGTTTTCTTTCTATGATTGAGAATAAACAAGATTTTGAATATCTTCTTTTATAATTTAAGGGTGACTTTTACTTATGGAAGATAAAGATTTCTTTTGATTTAAATCAAGCGTACATTTCAGATTGCAAGCATGCGTGATTATGATGAAAACCGATTATAAATTATTATAATTATTTTACTCGAGCACAACTATTGACGAAAAGAAATAAATACCCGTTTTATCTTGGTGAAAAGAGCTCATGCTAAAAATATCCTAAATAGAAAACTATACAAATTCATTTTAATAGATGTATTGAAGTACATACAACGACAAGGCCGAGTTTTAATCCGTGCCAATGAAAACGAAAGTCTATTTACGGATAGCCAATATTTTGGAGTTCGTTATAAAAGTGTAATTTTCTGTACTTTTAACTAGATTGGGTCTGAGAAATGAGTTCCTTATAAGCGATAATTCCTTATAACCGTGTTCGCTATAACCATATTTTTATATTAAATAAAGAAGGGCAAAATTCGGGCCAAAATAAAGTGTTCCCTATAACCGGAAGTTCGCTATAACCGTGTTCGCTATAAGTGAAGTTTACTGTAATGTGTTCTAAATATAATCTATTAACAGTAATTTCCTAGCCTTTTGAACGTTTTGATATGGCCTTGATGAGCAAATTCCTTAGTTGTTTTGAACTCCATGTAGTAGTCACCATTGGCTTCATCAATATTAAGTGCGTCTATCTCACCGGAATAAACTGTAATAACAAAAACCTCTATATTCAAATTCCATACCGTTCGGATCAAATTAATTATTTAATAAATCGATATTTGTTTAGAAAACATAACAATAGTTGTTAACTTGATACTATTTCAATGGTCGATAATAAATCTAGGAACATTTGCGTTTTACCTGATGCGACAACGTTATAGAGTTCTAGCAGAAATTATCGATTGTGCAAGCTATTAATCTCGGTCCGTCTTCGGAAAGAGTAAAATCTTATATATGGATATTTTCATATTGATTTTAAAGCAAAAAGCTTTTATTTAGGAAAACAAATACATTTCAACAATTTTTGTTTTATAAAATACATTATGGATTAAACAATTCCGAACGTTGACAATTTCTGTTCTTACCTAAAGAATGCTTGTTTAGTTCTGTTTTAACAACCGTATAAAGTTTTTCACAGTTGTTGTACGGTACATCAGTATTCGGCTGTCCATCCTTGGTATCTTAAATTTGAATGTTTTTTTATGTTAAGTTTATTTATTTGAAAGACAACTATAAAAAACAGGGAGCGAAAGAAAGAGAAAGAATTATTATTAATATTAATTGGACGTCTTTGTTCATGATTTATTTTATGTGTATTTTCAGAAACATTGCTTGATAAGGTACCGGTATTCGTTTTGTTTTATATCACAAGTTTTCTTCTCTTATTTTATCTGTAATGTAAATTAAATACCGTGTTATGGATTTCAAAGGTAATTCATATGAGAAGAATATTATTGATCGATTGGATACTTAATTGAACAATAATTGATGATATGTTCGATAATCAACAAGACAATGATAACTGATACCGCTTCTTTAGAAACACGTCGTCAGAATCATATCAGTTTCATGACAATTTAAACATTGCTACATTCTTCTAACGGGGAAAGGTATTGACAAGCTCACAAATAAGAGGTTTAACATTGCTTTAGGTACTACCTATGGAAATAATATTGACCTATACCTTTTAAACGTATGCAGTCTTTTGTTTCTACTCTGATAGTAAAACAAACTCAATTAATATCAGTGTGAATTCTAAATACATTTCATAGGTTCATCTGGATTGTGAATATTTGTACTATTCTTAAACAATATTTTTATCTAGTCTGATTGTTTTGAAATTTATTTGACTCATTCACAGGAGGCGTGCTGATTTCAAATGTAACCTTACCAAAACATAGTTAAAACATGTTCAAGGTACAATTGTAAGGAAATAAGAAAATACCTGCTGTAAGGTATTGTTCAAATTTCCACCCCCAACAACTCATTTCATCATTTTTAACTTCTGCCTCTCGTCGTTTTCTTTCTTCTGTAAGAATTTCATTGATGTAGTAGGTCCCGTTGTAATTAACAACAGCAATGAACCAGCCCTCTTTGTCCTCATACGGTGATAGCATTACTTTAGTGAGCAATCCACGTCGACACACAAAATCCACACCAAGCTTTCTGTGGGCAGACCACAACATATAAGTTCTTAAGTTGTTGTAGGAGAAATTAAAATTCATTTACAGATTTATTTCGGAGATGAAATTTGATATGAAATTTAAAAAAGACGTAAATAATACAGTTTCAGAAGACCAAATACGCGGTACGAAATAATTATTTTGTTGATAATGCAAAGGCAAACCAATCATGTTCAGTAAATTAGATCTATTTCATTTTTAACTTCAGATGAATTGCAGACCCGACCCCTTATATCACTTTATCAATTTATTCAAATATTTATGGTAACATGATAAAGTCAACGACTTTAAGTTGTTTCAAAACAAAACATGTACCTCGGATTTGCTCTCAAACTTTCCCCGCTTTTATTGATCTTCATTCCCCTTAGCTCAGTCTCTAAATCTTCAAGTTGTTGGTCAGTGCATTCTTGGTCATCCTCTTGCTGTCTTCCCTGAACCAAACATTACAATGTTTACATAACTAGTATATAATTTAGTTTTACAAATATTCAATGACTTATATCTTAGTGTATGCCAGCTATTCAGAATGTTCTATACTAAAGCTCTTATACTTGTTCTATATCTAAGATCTTTTTATATAAAACTTTCATATTTAAATTTGCAACATTTCTTTTTAAAGCATTACGATTACGCATTACGAAGTTATTGTACAGTACATAAAGTGTTACCAGATATATTAGGCATTTGTATAGTTTATACGAAGAATAGTGAGAAACTAGAAAAAACATATAAAAAGGACGTGGTGATTTAATGCTAGCAATATATTGAGTAAATATAAAATAACCATGATGACATGTGAAGAAACATTGATATACTACTTTGAACCACAAAGACGCAAACATGATAAACAATGGGTTCGTGAGGATCAAACAAGACTTCGCTATGATCTTTAATTCATAAGGCTTTGCGGAACAAGTTTCAGTTTCATGTGGCAAACTATTACTAGTAACCTTTATAAGGATAAACATTTTCTAAAATCGCTCCTTCACGTGCAAAATGACTCAGTAAAGAAGTTGAAATAGTAGCGTTTATGTATGCTCAACTATACTATAGGCGCGTCAATGAAAACTGTTCTTTGTCACCTCTAACGCTCTTTATTTTTAGTATCTGATAAATAGAATATTAAATTCGAGTAAGTTCATTACTAAATTTATTGAACTCGTTGAATTAAATAATATTATGCTCACCAGAGCTCGCATAATATAATTTTATTCAACTCGTTCAATAAATTCAGTATTAAATTTGCTCTCATTCTATATCCCCTATATTAGCATGGCAACAAACATCCAGTAGCACGTATCAACAAGTTTCTGAAGCTAAGTTTTACTTCTTCTTTACTCATTATTAGTTGTCTTTTTTTCAATATATATGTGTAATACCGATATTTGTTATAAGAAAAAAACTAGTATGCATATTTATAAGAGACCATTGTATGAAAATAAATTGACCTGGTGTTTTGTAGCATCCTTTGAACTTACTTGTCCCGAGGCTCCTTCACATTGCCTTAAAATATAAACAATTTTGGATAATCAATAAATAAATAAATTAATAAATAAATAAATAAATAAATAAATAAATAAATAAATAAATATATAAATATATATAAGTACATAAATAAATTAATGAATGAATGAATAAATAAATAAATAAATAAATAAAAAAATAAATATGTATGTGTGGTAATGTAAAGTTATATCATAATTTGTAAACACAGGATTGTTTCTGCACCTTAAACGTCAAGGCTTTTTTATGTCTAAACAAATGCGGAACTAGGCTTCATGTACATAATTATTGGTATTTTTTAAATCAAAATTGGCTTGGTGATTGTCAAAAATCGTCGAAAGACACACAGACGGTAAGACATTCACACTGTCAAACAGATTAACAACCTAAAAGCAGTATACTCCATAACATTTTTATGCAGGGGTATAAAAAGCACACAAGTAAAATTAGAAACCTGTGAAAAATGATTTCTTGTTATATGAGCCCCGTCCATCTCCTAGATTAATATTATAAGGTATGAAATTATCAGCATTTAAGTGCTTGAAGAGGCCAGTCCTTAATTGCTTATGACAAGTTTTATATGACTAGTTCTTGAAAACGATACATCATATGAGTCATATATATTTCTTAATGATACAAGTAACTAAAAACAACTAATCTAAAATTCAGATACCCGGCTGTTGCAAGTCAGGGTCAAACTTATTTGAAAAAGTCTCATTTGGGTAGGGCTATAAGATTTCCATTTGGATGAAACTTATAAAATCGCCAAAATTTAACAACATACTCTATCATAATTCTTAAAAAAACATGTTAAAGCAAACAGAATAGTTATTAAACAAATCAAAGATATAAAATGAACAATTAAAATTTTATTAAGAAAAACATAAATATTAAAACATTAACCATTACAGCTAAAATGCCACAAAACACAAATTATTTTAAATCTATTTAGATAACCTTACTCAATCAAAGACAACATTGTCTTCTGAAACACATGATAAAGCAATAGTTTTCACTTGAAAATAGAGGGATACATTATTAATGAGTGTGTCACCTACTCTGATCTAAATTCGCCTCCAAATGTTGGTCATCATAAAATCCACTACTGTCCTAGGATGATAACTTGAGCCTTTGTTTACATAACAAAGGCCAATAACAATGCGACGAATAGGTTAGGCAGATCAATGCCACAACCTATAAAATTAAAAATAAAACTACATGTTATCATATGTCTTGTTAGCGCAGTAGGTAGAGCAACCGTGTCAGTAATGTGTTTTACCCGTACAGGCAGAAGTTCGACTACTGGTAAGACACAATTATTTTTACCTCAGAACAGTCAGTTGTTCAGAAAACAAGTTTGACCGGTTTTTTCATTATGAGATCGAATATTTTATTACATTGCGATCAAAAAAAAATACAAAAAGAAAATAGAATGGAAATAAAAAATAAATTTATACAATAAAATATATATTATAAGAAGAAAACAAAAAGGAAAACGAAAAATAAATAAATAATAATGATAAAAAAAACAGAGTAAGAAGAAAAAATTGTGGTTATAAAATGGCACTAAGTGGGGTTCGAACCTATGAGTACAAAACACTAAAAGTTACAATTTCTTCGATCTACCGGCAGAGCCATAACGTTAATACACAAATGATTCTGTAAGAATAATGCTATATAGTATATATAAGTGTTTACTTTTACGATATCGGATAATGATCCAGATAACCCCGTTTTTGGACTTTCTCATGTACCGTTAAGACAAAATTATCATCCTAGGACAGTATGCGCAAATATTTTATCTTTATAGGTTAGATTTAATTCAACTAGCTACATGTAGTGAAATTAACCAATGGAAAGTTACAAGGAGATCTTGTTATCGTGTTCCCAAGGACGTAAAAACTAAAATCAATTCATATTTTTCGAAAATGAAATGTGTTGTTTTTTCAAGGAAAACTTCAGGCTTCTACAGCACGTTGTTTCATTTTAAAACAAAACTCCACAATCATTCGCGTTAAAGAGATGCTAGTTATTAAAGTGAAATGGTCCAACATGGAAAATAAATATTATTGATATCTGATACAATGTTATACATTAATAGTTGTATCATAGTTTGGAGACCTTTCTGTTGAAAATGTGTCAGGGTTAAATCGTATACATATACATGCACAGTGCGTTAACTGGAGTGCGGGTATTAGTTACCCGCACTCCAGAGCATGCCCATTGATTGGATCATTTTTGCTGGGGTTTACATATTGTGACGGCAGAGAAAGGGAAAGCGACAGAAATGTCACATTCAGATGTTCGTTCATTGGTTCATTTTTGCCGGGGTTTCATATTGTGATACAGGGAACGTGCTTTTATGTTTGACTATGATACAAAAGAGAAAGATCACCAAAACACTCGGCAATCTGAGTTATACTCGGGGGCTACGCCCCCTCGTACAAATCAGATAGCCTCGTGTTTCGGTGCTCTTTCTATTACTTAATGGCAAATTATTTTAGATCCAAATATTTTTTATTCTTCATACAAAAGTTCAGTTTTGAACATTATTAATTTTCTTTTCAAACTGTTTTTTTTATAATCATATTCAAATAAGATTTTTCTTTTCTTTTTGAAAAATATTTGCAATGCTCATGGAAAATGTGCCCCTTGTAAACTAATTCACTGTTTCTGTCTCACATAGAAATATATCTCTTCTCTAATAGTTTTCAGAAAATGTTAAAGACAAGTCATCGTTTATATTAGTGGCGTATGTATGCTTATGTACTTAAGTCTAGCACCCAGACTTAAGTTAATATACATATCTGATTCTTGCAATTGAAAATACAATACGCCTAAGTATGCAACCCTAGCAATATTCTTACATGACAACTATTAAAATATGATTGAAAAGAAATAAGAAACAACCACAACCACAACAAAAATTAAACAAAGTAATTCATTATGTCCAAATAAATAAAAGGGTTACCTTGTAGTAGCTTCGTCTGGATTTATTGGAAACTTATCAATATTGGCATTTATCCAGTGCAAAACATTAATGTCATTTCCTTTTTCTTTTATAATTCTTGTATCAAATCCTCGCCGTAAATCAAATCTTACGTTTTTTGGGTTTGAAGGCCTGACAAAATACTTTAAACTTTTTCTAGAATTCTCAAAAGCACTGTTGATATCGAGCGAAAAAGATCCTATTTCCTTTGGATCTTTAAAGGGTACAGAGGGGCGATCCAATTCTGAAAAATTTATTGAAAGATAAGAATCCATTTTTAATCGATTTTATCAATACGTAAGTCAGAAAATATTTTCCTGTTATATATTTAAATATTATATGTTATAAAACAAGTACTTCTAATGTTTCGTTGTACACTTAAAATATTAATGTTGTACGACAAAGAAAACGCGCACTGTAAATCAATGTCTGGTATGCAGTTTCTTTTTATATGCCTGGGTCACATGTTAAAACTTATAAATTATTTTCCGCATTTTCCGAAAACAAGCAGACACTTATGAAAACATCCTACAAGTCGAACACGATAACGTTTACATTATTCGGTCAGGCCATTTTGATAAAATGGGTTGTGCAAGTTATTCTATTTATAAATTTTGCATTTTATTGCAATATAGAAGAATGCATACAGACTTAATCCCGAGTAGCATAATGATTTGAGAATTCAGGTTATGAAGCGCTCAGGTTAAGAAAACAATCGAGTTCAAACATGCTTTTAGCTGTTTTTAACTTTCAAAATATTTTATTTTTGTTTGTCACGTACGTTTTGATTTTCTCTTTCATGATTCTGTAATTAAATTTATGTTTTGCACAATTGAAAGTTACACTAACAAAGGTTTGACAAAATTGAAGGTTTTTGCTTTTTAACAGTCATTGGACACATTGAATAGTATTATTGATTTTATTCTGTTTGAAATTTTGAATTCTATTAGCCACATTTTTAACAATTTTGGTTCATTTTTATATATATATCAATTTGCTTCCATTGCTATTTATTTGGTCATTTAACACCATAATTAGCGAATGTGTTGTCTTTAACTCAGTCTGTTGAATGCGAATCTTTGTGAAATATAATGCTCTCAAAATAGCCTTGTATGAAGATCTGAAATCCTGTAAGTTGAAAAAAAAAACAATTAAAGGGTATAAAAATGGAAACAGGGTCTCTTGGTTCACTAAGCAAACACTCACTACGCTATTACGCTGAACGGATGAAAAATGAACAAGTTAAATGTTGATGCTGCACATCAAAGACGCCACAAAATAATCCATTGGGGTTAAAACAATTACCAAAATCCACCTAGCCTACAGTGTCAAAAATACTCCCCGACTGGCCGAGGCATAATTAAATGTTTGTACACTAGATTTAAAATTTTCAATTCAACACCTTTTTTTTATTTTTAAAATGCATGTTTACAATTATCCGTGTTTGTTGTAAAACATGTTCTATATATCGTCGTAAATATAAAGAGGCATCACTCGATTGTAAATGCATTGCGATAAGTAAACGAATTACGCTGATTATACCCGAATGTTCTCAACCGCAACTTTTCGGCCCTTTCTGTTGAAATTGATAATAGCTCGGTAATTTCCTGCTTTAGAATATAGACTGGCTCATTGTCACGTTATTTTATTGGTTAATAATAAAAAAAGATAGAAATAAATAGAATGTTATATTTAAACGTGGAGGCATCTCTTTTGTTAAACGTTTAATTAATTCCATGACGCTCGGGGACATGTTGATCATCAGAAAAGCTATTTTTATCCGAAAATCTGAAAACTGTGTCATTTTGTTAGAACAAAAAAAAAACAAAAAACAAAAAAAAAACAAGACTAAAATTTTCCCGATTGCTGACTGAACGAATGCATATCTACTAGACGCCGCGTGCACGAAATTGACAGTCACTAATAAAAGTTGGGTTTACGCATGGAACAAATGGGCAACATCAAAATGGAAGCCGATGATAGAAATTATCAAAAGAAACACAAATTGTTACAATAATTTGTACCAGAAGTTAATGATTGCAGCATACGTTTGCATTAGATATTGTTTTACACGTGCAATTTTACAAACCGAAATTTTACGAACGTGTGTAAAAATGAAACACGAAAGGTTATTTTTAATACTATCTTGTCCATGTAACAAAACGAGTTATTTCTTTTTTAAATTATTGATTCTTTCATGAATGTCCAACAATTAAAAGAAAAGAAAAACTGTCGTATACTGCGTTCTATTTACCACAATTAAATTTAACCAACTTTAACAAATTTACAAAACTTCATTCAAAACAAATTTTTTGTAACAAAAATATAAACGCTACACACTACAAGTCCTAACTGATTTAATTTTTTTCCAAAACTCACATATTTGACATTTACATGTAGAAATTTATACGTTAAGCAATTGAGTTAAAAATAGCTTGTTCATACACTTTAGTGTATCGCTTTAGGAAAACATTAACTCGTTGTACAATTATATTATTCTAACAAAACACAAAGAGACGAAAAAGTATAACTTTGTCGTCTCTTCGCATTTCCGCCACCATAGTATAGGATAATAAGTTAGTCCTAACGGTACTGTCCTAGTATGATAACTTGAGCCTTTGTTTACATAACAAAGACCAATAACAATGCGAAAAATAAGTTAGGCAGATCAATTCCACAACCTATAAAAATGAAAATAAAACTACATATTGTCATATGTCTTGTTAGCGCAGTAGGTAGAGCAGCCGTGTCACATTCGTTTTTACCTCAAAACAGTCAATTGTTCAGAAAACAATTTTGACCGGTTTTTCATGTACATACATGAATACGAGATCGAATATTTTATTACACTGCGATCAAAAAATACAAAAAGAAAAATGAAAAGAAATTAAAATAAATAAATATATACTATAAAATATATATTATAAGAAGAAAACAAAAATGAAAACGAAAAATAAATAATTATAATGATAAAAAACAGAGCAAGAAGAAAAAAATGTGGTTATAAAATGGCACTACGTGGGGTTCGAACCTATTTGTACAAAACACTAAAAGTTACAATAATTTCGATCAGAGCAATAACGGTAATACACAAACGATACTGTACGAATAATGCCATATACATGTAGTATATGTAAGTGTTTACTTTTACGATATCGGATAATAATCCAGATAACCCCGTTTTTGCACTTTCCCATGTACCGTTAAGACCAAATTATCATCCTAGGACAGTACATGGAAAATTTCAAGAACGGGTTTATCTGCATTGTTATCTAAAAAGTAAACACTTATACTGATAGGCAAAATTGGCCCGAGACATATGAATGACCTATTGTCGATAAATATAGGTTTCCGAAGTTAAATTTTGCAAATTATAATAAAAAATCATACACAAAAAAAACCCATAAAAATAAATTGATTCGAACCTACAACAAGTTAACTGTGACCTTAACAAACTCATTTACAACAGTTTTACACGATTAAACTTAATAAACTACAACATGCTAGTGCGGTTACTATATTACTTACCAGATTATCACTGGACTCATAGGCCTGGGTGGCAAGGTGTAAGACTTTTTTGTAGGTTCGAATCAATTGATTTTTTATGGGTTTTTTTGTGTATGATTTTTTATTATAATTTGCCAAATAACTAAAGTTTTATGCCTCCTAAATCACTCATTGTATGACTTAACATCTTGAAACAAAAGAAATGAAAAGTATTTATTTTTCAAAATGATGAAATTGAATAAGAAATACATGTACTAGAATTAAAAAAAAATCTTTATCAACCCGTGTTTCGTATAATTTACAGAAACAAAAATCAGATTATGAAAACTACAAAAAGGTTTCAAAGATTCGACTTTGCAACAACGTGGTTCTTACCATTAAGCCATAGAGTGATCCCGAAAATAAGAGTCTCGAGTCAATATTGCCAAACAATTTATTCTATAGTTATGGTTGATTTATATATATTTAACGTATGGGGCGGTCCATTATAAAGTGATACAGGTAAATAGAAATGTTGCACACCCAAATTGGTAATACGATTCATTACGTGACATGGTGAAAGACGGAACGGTTAATTTAGCTCTTATAAGTTATGATCGCTTTTCTATATCTTGGATATTATATTATGTGAACTGTTTTAACATGATTTACATAACTGAATTTATAGTTAAACTTAAGTAGTAAGCTCTTACAATAAATGTGGAGTGAAACAGGCGTTTTGCGTGCAGTTCAGCACGTATACGAGGGAATAATCATGACGGCGGTGACGTGGCTTAAAACGATTGGAACCAAAACTGGGCTGAAAAAGACAGAGGCGCTCAGCTGGTGAGATTTTTAATGAGCATTTAGACAGGTGTAAGTATGACCCGTTTTATCGAGGAGTTGAAATCTATGAACATGTATGATAAACTCGTGACATTGTTTAAAATGTTGACGTGTACACATAGTAAGGCAGATAATCTAAATACACATGTTGAAGGTAATAATCTAAATCTGTCTGATGCTTACATCCAGTTAAACAATTTATTCGCTGGTAGAATCATTTCTCCGGAATGAAATTGATATTGACCTTACTAACATTTGTGTAGTGCGTGCTCATCGGCTTGGAAAAGTAAATTCGAAGAGGACACGTCAAATTATAGCCTGTTTCAAAGATTATCGAACTGTTGGGTACATTTGATCTGTAGCGTATAAAATAAAAGTAAATACATTTTTGGCATTAGAAGAAATTATCCAAATAAATTGTTGAAGCAATGTCACGCATCTAACTTAAATCAAAGGCAGAACGGTAAAGAATCCTCCTAATACTGTTTATATTGGCAACCCCGCAAAACCACTATAGCAAAACGTTATTCAAATGTCACATCATAAAGGAGTTGCCATTACAAAGCAACATGACACGATGCATACGCAAGGTAGAGAAAATCACGTTACGCACGAGTTATTCTCTCAGCGCTTTATTAGAAATGTCAACAGACGACAATTCTTGCAGCGATAATGAGGAAGATAACATAGATGAGTAAGTTAATCGCGACTACAATCACGACAAAAAGAGAAGAATTTTGTCTCAACAGCAACACTATGTGTTACATCGGCGCGGTTGTCCGTGCCTTTCACAAACGAGGATTCGGTAGTCAGTCTAACAACTCATCGAGTGCTGGGGTGATGCTCTGAATAACTCATGTGCTAATTGTAATTGTTCAATTAAATTACAACGCGTTGATGCCAATGATGAATTATAGGTAAATATCAGAAATTCTTCATATGTGAATAGTGACGAAATGAATTGCAAATCTGACAAATTTAGGATAGGATTGTCAAATGTATGTATCGGATAACAGTGATTTCTTGAAATTGTACACAATTAAAACATTTTCTAAGTAACTAAACCGAAATTTGATGTATATGACCAAATTTATTTCAGTGGTTACACTAACGTTAATATTCCGAGAAAACAAAAACAGGTGAGAAAATTTGGTGGACTGGGTGCATTTATAAACATAATGAAATATTTCCATTCATTTTTTTTGGTTAAAGCTTAGTTCAAGATTTACAGGTCAAACTCACGAGTTCGAAATATTTGAGCAAGAAATTTGTGACATGTTTATGAAATTTGAATACATGTATGTATACATTTTTGGGGGATTATAATGCACAAATAACTTAGTCGCCGGAATTTACTACAACTGATTAGTGTTGATGGATCGTTTTGAAATAGATAATGCAGGAATCCAATTTATTTACAAAGAAGCTCGTATGGGGAATTTTATTGTAAACTTGTTGTGAGAAAATCGCAGGACAAGAAAACTAATTATCATGGGTAATAATTGTTAGATTTGAGTAAAAATAACAACCCTAATCTTATGGCAGGTGTAAAAATGTTAATATTGGTAAAATGAAATTTAGGAAGGTATCGGTTATCAATTATGTATTGTCGTCATTGGTAAGGTACATTTAGTTAGTAAAATATTTTTGTATCATCGGATGGGCATTCGTTTTTTAAATTGTAATATAAATACTAAAAAATAATTTAATAACATATGACTTACCCAAATATAACCAGCCCAGGTTGGACAACAATCTGTCACACGTTGGTCATTTGACCATCAACTGTGACCAACCTAAAACGTAAAAATATCGGTATGTTATTTATAAACATCATCGATTCGCACACGCCTCTTTACCTATAATCCGTTTCAAAATAATCATTCTCGACCATGTATGGACATCTACCCCCGATTCCTGTCCTTTTTTATAATATGATGACGAAGTACTAAAATATCGATAGTACACTTTCAGATGATCACTTGCCATGTCACGTTTTATATATTGATTTACTATGCATTGTTTACTCTTGTGTTGCAACATGTATTTAGAGTTAATAAAGTGGCTGATAACTGTAATTTTCTTATTAATGCCGCAATAGCTTAAACTGTACATGCTGTAGAGCGCTTAGCTCGTATGCAGGCGTTACACAGCCCTGAATTTGGCATCAGATGGTCACACGAAGAAGAAAATGTTCAAATTCGGATCTGATCTTAATAACATCGGGCCATTCGTGAGGGCATCTTTTTCCATCGTCTGACCCCTCGCTAAATGTTTCAGGCTCTGGCAGCAACTTCATGGGCGGTCGCGAAATTTTTGGCATGCCAAACAATTGCCGTAAGACAAAACGAAAGTTTATTTTCGTGTTGAATTCGTCTGCCAATTTGGCGCTTCGTAAGGCCGTCGTAAAACCATCTGTAAATCGTGTTGTCTTCGTCTTTACTCCGTGTGATCATAATCTGGTATTTTAGCTTCAAAAAGACAATATGAAGGAAACACGAAGATTCCCGGTTGTCTTATGAGAGGAGCACGACTATATGAAGCCCCCGCAATACCGTCGTGTCGCCATCGTATTTTGGTACGATGTCATTGAGATGGGACCACGATGAGGACGAAGAAAGAAAATTTGTGTGGCTCAAGCGTTGCATGTTTATCATTGTCGACATATAAAAAGGCTAGCCACAGACCATCTTCCTCATCTGTCAGCCTTGCACATCTCTACAGAGACACCAAAAGCTTTATTATTTGCAATTAATAACAATTATTTTCAGTTTATTTTCTTAAGAATTACATGCTTTGATGATGAGTCAACCGAGAAAAAGAAGACATCAGCATTGTTACACCTTAGAAAACATGATAAGCAACTCCTACTGGTTTAAACTTGGGTGGCATAACAGTCAAATATGATAGACAAGATCAACAAGAATATGCGGGGTTCAATGAACGCAACCCACACACGACACAGCAACAAGAACCAGTCGCAAGGAGCCCAGGAAGACCCCAAACAGAAAACAGAACAGGGTGCACGACAGAACACGGACAGGCATATCACTAAAATGATACATAGGAAGAAATAATAGTAACCGACAAGGAAATCAAAGAAAACAAATAAATGATTGATCAATAGGCCAAGAAAGCTAAGGGGATGGGGATAGGAGATTCAGGGAAGTGGAGGGGCAGAATTAAAGAAATAAAACTTGAGGCAAAAGAGAAGATACTTACTGTAGACAAGAAAACAACAAAGGACACAGACAAAGGTTTCACCAAAACAGTAAGAAACAATTAAAAATGTATGGTTTTCCTTCTTTCTTCAAGCCGGGCACATTTTTTTCTAAAATATACAACTTTTCTTACCACCATTAACTGAACGTTCAATCATGTAGAATAATTTGTCGTCCGTATGTGCAGATAGTAAGCTAATAGATAGTGCAGATATTAGTTTCAAAGCCTTCATAGCTCAATTTAATAAAACTAAGAAATTATCAAAATGCCTAAATGAAAATTAATCTTTGATTTTCCAACATGATAGCATTAATAATATCAACTAGGCTGAATGTAAGTTGATAAATGCGTAACTTAATAGAAATAATAAACGTGCAACACAAAGGTAGATATGAACATTTTAGTCAATTTTATGTCAAACTAACCATTCTATTGTTAAATAAAAAAGTCCCAATAAAACACCTTGTTTTATAACGTACTTTGCATATCCATAGCTGGACAGATTACATGTATAACAATTTTAATTATAGTCGACCAATTCAAATCACACCAACATTCGAAGTTTATGTTTTATAAATATGTATTTGCATTTTACCGTTACTTTTCAGGAAAAAAGAATCACAGAAGCACTATTATAATAATAGATACATTTTGTAAATGTCAATATTTTACTTTTTGTCATTGAAACATATACAGTTTAACTTCCAAATTCCAGAATTTCTGGATTCCGGAAACTTATGAAATCCGAACATTTTTCAGGGTCCCAAATTTCTCCATAAGTTTTCTGTATAATTACGGAATTTCTAAATTCTGATTCCGAACTATTTTCTGGAAAAAAATGGATAGCATGAATTCAAATTTACATCCAAAATCCGAAAATTGGAAAGGGTTTGAAGGCATTATGTTGCACCTGAGAATGTAAAACCTTCAAAATGTCAGTATTTACCAATTATCCCTAATTATATCTTGACACCTAGAAACTGAGAAGAAAATTGTGATGAAAAACAAAGATTACAGGTTAATAGCAGGTGCTAGATCTACATGTTATATAATTAAGGATAAATTTTGATAGTTAACATTATGCTATTGTATCAACAAATCAAGTTATAGTTAGAAATAAAAGCAACTATGAACTATTTTAAAAGTCCTGTAATTATTTCATTTGATGAATTTAATCAGCTTCACATATTTTTTCATCATTTCTTTCTTAAACAACGAATGTTAAATGTTTCTGTCTGTTCAAATAATTCTGAACTTCAGTATTCCGGATTCTTCGAAATTCCGAATATTTTGGCTAGGCCCACAGACGCTCGGTTTTGAGAGGTTACACTGTAAACCCTTGTTTCACACCTAATTGTAACAAAATTAATGATCTTTTAGCGTTGACACCATGTAATCGTCCAGTATTTATGATTGGATAGCTACCGCGTCTGCGTTTACAGCCATACACTCGTCCGTCCACAGGATTCAACGTTGAATTCAGCAATGCATAAAAAATAACCTCTAACAATATTTCAAGAAGAGAGAAAAAAACAACAAAAATCAGAAACAAAAGCAAACAAAATACACATGTAAAATGACGACAATTAATCGACATTATTTTCGGGAGGAATTGTTCATAATGTAATTGCAATTAAGCAGAACCATCAATGTACCACTGTGGCAGAAAATTGTATTCAGAATTCCTTAGTGGTGGACTGCATTCAATTCGTCCTCTTGGTGACCACCTCAGTGTATGCACTATTCTGAAAAAACCAATAGAAACAAAATGTAATATAAATCAGTAAGAAAAGTTATGTATGTTTTTTGGTACAATGACTTGTAATATGTAACATTAAGACATTCCTACGTGTAATGTAACACTAGGACTGACAACAATTATTGTAATAACTAATAACAATGTACCTTATGTATTGTCAGACAGTTGGACTTACAGTGAATAATTTTAGAAACTCTGACTTATAATGTGTGGTATTTGGTTCGAAAATTAATCATGAATGTGTAATGTTAGATTTTGGGATCTTTATTACGTAAAACTAGTACAGAAACCTATGATATGAACTATTTCTCACTTGGACATATAATTTGTAGCATTTTGTACAAGGACTTATAACGTGTTATGTTTTGCACTATTATTTTGCAATTGCAATACAATTGCAATATTATAAAAACGGACTGACACTTTTTAACATCAGGTACAAGGACATTTATGGTGTATTGTAGACACTAGAACTTGGAGTGTAATGCAAAATCCTAAGACTTATAACGTTTAGTGTTTGGTACTGGGACTTACATGTATAATGTTCAATTCTAAGTAGTAAGTCTTTACAATTGCTGTGCGAATAATCGGAAAATGACTTTTTTCTTGGCTAAGTTGTAAATAGATACATGAAGACAAAATGCATGAAATACTTAGGAAATCATGACTATTTTGTATTGTTTATTAATAAATGATATGTATATTCGTATTTACAGGGTCTGCACTGATATTCTGAATTTTATTGATTGTAATTCTTAACCCCTTTAATTACTTATTGGTTGTTTAAGAGTAAATGATGATTCTGCTGAAGAAGATCACCTTCTTTCTTATGAGAAACTATGTTTGTTGAAACTCACTAAGACATGACGATATAAAAATTTCACCTATACGTCAAGGCATTTAGAATGTACTATTGGCGCAGCCATCAAATTTATGAAAGTTTATTTTTTGAATTTTGAAGAAAAAGTAAGTAGTAGCAGAGGACGACGACGACGACAGAAAGCTGTTTATTTGTGATCATTGAACAAACGAAGCAGAATTTGTATTAAGCTAGTTGCCCCAGAGGGTTTTTTTTGTAGGCTAAACTTGTTTAATACAAGTGTAGCAGACATATCTGAATATATACATTACAAAACAAAAAAATCTTACTTGGGGTCGTCGATCCTAATGGAGTCTTTGATAAATGTGAGAAATTTATCCAGGAAATTTGTACACACGTTTGGTTTCCATGGATTATACACATCCTGTAAAATGGAAGACATGGATTAGAGTTATGAAGCGTCAGCATATGTAACACAAAACTTAAGGCATCTTATTATCAAACCTCATCATATGGTAAATAATTTTAGCTAAATCTCAGAACTGAAATCATGGAGCGATAATTTTCTTTAATAAATTTCAAAAAAAAAAAAATCAACAATAATTAATAAAAAAACAAAAACGTTACCTTTTTTGCCAAATCTGGCAACGAGTTTGTATCATAGAAGTCCAACCGTTTAACAACACCACTTTCATCTCTAAATCCACAGACGATAGTCTTTATTCCAATAAGGTGACTTTGTGCCCACCACTTCTTTGTCTTGAACCTGTTTCAAATATACGAGTATTTTTTTAAAATGTGATCTTAGGCTAATGTAAAACCAATGCAAAACCTTCCTTGACACTTTGGTAAAATATTTTGAAAACTCCGGATATCAAATAAAGTATAATATTGTAACTCGTAAGTCTGTCCTTTAAAACGGGTTTAGGTTACGTTAATTATTATCCATTTCATATTGCATAATATTTTTATTTGTATTACGAATATTTTAACATTGAAGTAAGATATGTTGATATGTTCATTGGTATAAGCAATTCGCTCGTCCAAATGGTCATTATTGCTTTATTGTGTATATAACTTGTTATATTAAAAGGATTTTGTTGTATGTATCAATTTGTATCTTTGGCTTTACAAAAGGGACTTGCTACATGTAACAGAAAATAATTTGCCTTTTTGATATTTTTGAATTTTATCCATTATGTCTATCATGAATCACTTACTCTTTCAAAAGTCTTTTTCATGTGAAATGTTATGAGTAATTTTGTCTTCCATATCGTTTTTGTTATGTGTATTGTGAACCATTTGTTCTGTTTAATTTCAAATTATTGAAAAACATTTTGCTGTTTAGAAGACGGACATAGTTTATCGAAATTATGATATCAATAAATCGACTTGTCATTTAATCAGTGGATAATTTACACCGGTTCATTGAAAATAGGGAAAAAGGGAAGAACAAAAATACACGCAAAAATAAACAACATAATTTAGAACAAAATGTTAAGAAGTTTTTTTCTGAAAACATTTGAATACATGATTTTCTGAACTGAGTTTTACACAAAATATTTTAATGATCACAGCAATAGTACAAGTAACAATATACTCTTAAATAACATAGACACAAATCTTATGGCAACATAAGGATTTCATTAATAATTCAATATAATGTTCACTAAAATATAATTTAATAACAGTAATTTCCTAGCCTTTTGAACGTTTTGATATTTCCTGGATGAGAAAATTCCTTATTTGTTTTGAACTCCATGTAGTAGTCACCATTGACATCATCAACATTAAGTGCGTCTATCTCACCTGAATAAACTACAAAAACGAAAGCTCTATATTCAAATTCCTTTTCGTTCGTTATTAAATTAATCGATAAATGTTTACTAAAACATAACAATTTTTGCTTACTGTTTACTTGATACTATTTCAATGGTCGGTTCAATAACGTCGATAATATATTTACGATGCGATTTACCTTATGCGACACTGTTTCAAAATTTAATAGAAAGTATTGATTGTGCAATATATCAATTTGGTTCGGTGTTTGGTGCAAGTAAAATCTTATATATCGATTTAACAATTACATTTAAACTTATTTTTATAAAATACGTAATGAATTCAACAATTTCATCGAACATTGACGAATTCTGTTCTTACCTAAAGAATGCTTGTTAAGTTCTGTTTTAACAACCGTATAAAGTTTTTCACAGTTGGTGTAAGGTACGTCAGTATTCGGCTGTCCATCCTTGGTATCTTAAATTTGAATGTTTTTCATTTCAATTATTTTTTGAGAGAGAAAATTATAAAAAAAAAACAAGAGGCGAAAGAAAGAGAAAGAGAATGTATTACGTCTTGTGCAGTAGTTTCTTGGCGTCTTTTGTTCATGTTATATTTTATATGTATTTTCAGAAGGTACCAGGGTATTTACAGAAGACACCAGTATTCATTTTGTTTTATATTTGAAATATCCTTAAAGCCTTTGGTTTGCTCCTCTTACTTTATCAGTATGTATATCATATACCTTATATTGTATTTCATAAGTAATTCATAAGACAAATAGATCAAAACTGACACAATTTATCAATACATGTTTCGCTTTAATAGCTTCATCAGCTGATACACTAAGAAAAAGACGTAAACGTAAAGTAATTCATTAAAAAAACCCAAATTATTAACGATTGATAATGGTCACTGTTAACGCTTCTTTAAGCAACACGTCTCCACACTCTAATCAGATTTATAACAATTTAAACATTGTTCTAACGGGAAAGTTTGGACTAGTTCACAAATAAGTGTATAACCTAGCTTAAGGCACTGGTTATTGAAATTATGTCGAACCTATAACTTATCATTATATACGATACGCTTTCTTAGCTGTAAATATCTGTAAGTTAAAAGGGGCAAAATTTAGGTGATAAATGTAAACATTCTAATATTTTTCAACGTTTAACCTAAATTTTAAATATTTGAAAATTTCTTAGACTTTCAATATCATTTTATTTAGTCTGAAGTTAGAAATTTACTGGACTTATTCATCTGAAGGCGTGACAATGTTATGACAAAGATTTTTAGAACATTTTTAAGAATAACGATAATACCTGCTGTAAGATATTGTTCAAATTTCCATCCCCAACAACTCATTTCATCATTTTCAAATTTGAATCTTTCTTTTGGAAAAATCTCATTAAGGTAGTAGGTCCCGTTGTAATAAACAACAGCAATGAACCAGCCCTCTTTGTCTCCATACGGTGATAGCATTACTTTAGTCAGCAATCCACGTCGACACACAAAATCAACACCAAGCTTTCTGTGGGTAGAACGAAACATAAGGTATAAAATTCTAAAGTTATCAATATTACTTGTTGTGGGACGAAATAAACAGATTGATTTCGGATAAGAAATTTGAAATGAGATTTAAATGAAAAAAAAAGAAAAAGATAAAAGACGAAAAATGCACAGTTACAGAACCCCAAATATGCATTATGAAATAATAATTCTGTAAATATTGCGAAAGCTAAATACATTTATAAAACAATGACATATTCTACTACTTATCAATTTATCGGTTAAGTCAGATTTTTATAGTAACATGATAAAAGAAATGCGTTTTGCTTGTGATATTTTAAAACAAAACATGTACCGCGGTTTTGCGCGCTCACATATATCCGTTGTTGTTTCATGTTTATTGATCATCAGTCCACTTAACTCAGTCTCTAAATCACCAAGTTCTTTACCAGAGATTCCCTTGTCATCAACGTGCTTTCTTCCCTGAACCAAACAAAGTTTACATAACAAGTTTAACATTTGAATGATTAACTGTTCTGGAAGACATTATTATGGTATCACTTTTAAAATGTTGCTGTTGTAAGAGTCGGGTAGAGACACAGTGCTTGAGACTTAATTATATTTATCAACATAATAAATTAACGATTTTGACAAATCATTTAGAATAAAGAAAGATTTGTGAAACATAGTTGCCCCTTTAGCCCTATCTACCTACTGTTTGTCAGGAAAAAAGAAAAAGAGTAAATTAAACATTGAAAAACAATTTAAAACTCAACTCTTAATTTCAAAATTAAAGGCAATTTAATGAGTTGGCTACATGTGTTGCACTATTGATATACTACATTTAATCACAGAGACACATATATTAAACAGTTCAAACAATGGCTTCGTAAGAATTAACCATTCTTACAATGGTTGTACCGGACATATTACTATGCTTCTTCCTGTAAATGTGACTTAGTTAAGAAGTTGGAAATCCTGCAACTTTGTACAAACATGACATCATTTCTATTCTGTATGCGGATATAATATTTTGCTGCTGCCTGTCGTGAGTAGAAGTACTTTAATTTCAAAATTAAAGGCAATTTAATGAGTTGGCTACATGTGTTGCACTATTGATATACTACATTTAATCACAGAGACACATATATTAAACAGTTCAAACAATGGCTTCGTAAGAATTAACCATTCTTACAATGGTTGTACCGGACATATTACTATGCTTCTTTCTGTAAATGTGACTTAGTTAAGAAGTTGGAAATCCTGCAACTTTGTACAAACATGACATCATTTCTATTCTGTATGCGGATATAATATTTTGCTGTTGCCTGTCGTGAGTAGAAGTACTTTGAACCAATATCGTTTGGATGTACCAAAGGGGGACTACTCTGGAGAATTTTTAAGATAGAAAATAGTATCAGAACGTATTTGAAACGCTCGTTAATTAGATTCTATAATCTTTGCAAAGATATGACTAAATAAAAACAATAATCGAAAATATCCAGTTTATTCTTAATTTTACCTTAATTAGTGTCGTTGGCAAGTTAATCATCACACTTGTTTTGATATAATCATTTAATTGATTTTAAAAATGATGCCAATATCAATGCTTGTTGCTAGAGATATTGTATACATATAAATAAGAAACTCATTTATAAGGAAGGGAACATACCTGCTGTGTTGTAGCCTCCATTGATCTTGCTTGTCCAGATTCTCCTGTACATTGCCTTAAAATATTAACAATGTTTTATTTTTGGGAACATTTCTTTACATGCAAAATACAGATTAGTATGAATCAGCCGCTGTAGAAACAAAATGTCAATAATGAACTGCGTCATGATAAAACCAACATAGTGGGTTTTCGACCAGCATGGGTCCAGACCAGCCTGCGCATCCGCGCAGTCTGATCAGGATCCATGCTGTTCGCTATCAAGTACTCTACTTGTAATATGGTTTGTAGGCGAACAGCATGGATCCTGATCAGACTGCGCGGAGGCGCAGGCTGGTCTGGATCCATGCTGGTCGCAAACGCATTACGTTGGTTTTGTCATAACGCGGCTCATTTTCTCTCTTTTCAGTTATGGCCACAATGTCATTGTCATATTTTAACCTGTAGCTTATGTTCATTAAATAAATACATTTTATTACATAAACTCAAGATAAAACAAAACTAGAATTATCAAAGAAGGTAACAACTTCACACACACATACAGTATGAAGTCTTTTTTATCAAGAATCACAACAAGCAGGGGCCACACTAAAAGCTTAACTACAATACCTTTGTTGTTTTATAAGAGTAAATGAGTCCGAAATTTTAAATTTGTAATACCATGATAATTAACCATAATTGAAGTTTACGTGGCAAAAAAATAAAATAAAATAAACAACGAAAACGAACGAATTATTCATGAATATAAGTGTTAGATATTTTAAGTATATTGTAAGTGTTAGATACTTACAATAGTTATACCAGATAATAAATTGTTATAGATAAAAAGATGATCATATCAATGTTTTTATTCAATAAATATGCATTTTAACATTTTTAAGAATATCCAAATGATAATATCACTTCTTTTCATCAAAATTTAAAAAACACACATTGTAGACTAATTCACTTCTATTGTCTGTCGCCAGTATGAAAAAAGAATATGTTCCAAGGTAATATTTATTCACCAAAATGTTTATGACAATCTATCGTTAATACGGTGGTGTTTTAATTTGTTAAGCTTTTATACTTAACTCTAGAACCCAGAAATTTTAGGCTAAGTAGCTAAAGTTAATATACACATATGAATATGGTAGGTTTGTTATTTCGCAAAACAAACAATATATAACGTAAACAAAAATAGTTATTAAGCAATAAATAAAAGAAATACCGTCCGTTTCCTTCATCTTGATTTATTGGAAACTTATCCTGATTGTCAATTATCCAGCGCAAAACATGAAAATCATTTCCTGTATCCCTTATAATTCTTGTATCAAATCCTTGTCGGAGATCGAACCGAACATTTTCGGGGTTTGGAGGACTGACAAAATATCTTAAACTTTTTCGAGAATTCTCGTAAACGCTGTTGATATCGATTGAAAAAGACCCTATTTCCTTTGGATCTTTGAAAGGTACAGAGTCACAATCCAGTTCTGAAATGAAATTTAATATAAGAAAACATTATTGTGTCTCTTCTACTGAGGACTGGCAACATACAGGAATCACATCTCCGTCGTCTGTATGTATTTTCATCTGTCTGTCCGTCTGTTTGTACGGACGTCACAAATCTTTTCGGACTAATTCTCAAAACCTACTGATGCGATTTTATCCAAACTTTACAGGAATGATCAGTATTAAGTCAAGTTATGCATATCCTCTTCAATTTCATGTTCAATGATTTTTGTCAGAGTTAATGGCCCTTAAATAATCTAACATTTTTAAAGGTTGTCCGGACTACTCCTCTTATACTACTATTGCAATTTTATTGAAACTTTACACAATTGATTGGTAGCTCAAGTTTTTGGCATATTACACGGATTTTTTGGTTGAATGATATAGGTTTGAGTTATGGCCCTTAAATACAAAAAGGTGTTTATGTCGTTTGTCCAGACTAATTCTCTTATTCCACTAATGCAATTTCAATGAAATTTTACACAGGATTTATAAGTTGCACAAGTACTAGCAAATGATACACGGATTTTCCGGTTGAATGATTTTTGCTGCGTTATGACCCTTGAATGGAAAAAGTGTTATTTTTTTGTCGAGACTACTCCTGATGTACCACTAAAGCAATTTCAATGAAACTTTATAGGATTGATTGGTAGCTCAAGTATTTTGGCATAATACACAGGTTTTCGCTGAAATAATTTTTTGTCGAGTTGTGACATGTGAATAAAAATGGTGTTGAATAAAAAACGCGTTTTGTCCTGTAAATCATGTTTGTGTCTCCTGCCACACAGTTGCTGCAACATGCAATTGGCTATCATGAGGCGACACATGTAATCACTGATCACTGTTGTTAATTAATCTTTATGTTAATATTTATGTTGTGTATAATATGTTGAATATAAAAATATGATATGTTGCAAAACAATTGCTTAGAATATGTCCCCTTCTGCAAGGATTATTCCAAATAACTTTTAGCAGCGCACTATTTTTATACGGGAATTTCCGAATTTACAACTTTTTAAAACAGTTTGATCTCAAAGACTTAAACAACCTTCATCCTGTTTCAACCGGTTGTTAAAATTATTTAAATAAACTGTTGTCCTTGTCTAATTTACTTATTTGAAATTAATAATCTGAAACAATCACATCAAAACAATCTTAGTGAGTGACTTCTTGATAAAAAGCTGCCATTGCAATTTGGAAAGGTTGAGTCAAATTTGCTGCGTGCAAACCAAATTTAAGGTGGTCCAAGTCTATTTTGAGTATTACCTATAATGGCAAAACTATTAATATCATTAGTAACAAAAATAAGTCAAATAATAGTTAAATATCTTGGTACAATCATTTGCCTCGTCGTCCATCAAGATAAGATGAATTCAGCCTCTACATGCCTAAGCGGGTCCGTGACCGGTGTACTAGAAATAGAGTTCCTGCCATGTATTTTTTTTTCTTTTTGTGACACCGGTCTTACTCGGAACTTAATTTATGTCGTTTAAACAGCTATTGTCGAGGGAAATTGCCTTGCAAGATCTGCGGGGTTATGTTTCAGTACATATACATCTAGCTTCGACGCATCAGGACCAACTATGGACTGTCATATACGTGTCATTAGTTTTGAACTAAAAACGTCATATTTTACGACATTGGCAACCCAGCAATAAAATCAACCGGAAATAATCTAAACATACAAACTGTAAAATGGTTAACGTTCGACTGAAAATAAATCTAAAACAGGAAGACTCTTTTACCTAGTTAAACCTCATTGTAAAAGTTATGGACAACAGAACCTGAATTCAAAGGGCGTCATTCACTGCAAGAGACGTTCTATAGTATTCGGTATGTGTGTTTGCGATTCTTTATTGACGCAAGGAGATAAGTGTTTGAATATATGTAATAAAACAGTTACAAAATAGTTGGATGAAAGTGTAGAGGTCACAACCTTAGAACATTACAATAATATAAAATGGGATTAAAGTTTTAGGATAAGGGCAAAATCAACTATGATAATTATGTATACGGTAAACAAGAGAAAATGATTTTAATGTCCTTAAATATAATCCCAGTAAACCAAAAACTTGTATACAATACTGGTTTCTAGACATGTGGAATGTATATGGTATGAATATGTCCGACACCCCAACTTACTATGAGTTTATGTGGTAAAACATTTGAAATTATCACAGATATGTTAATAAATACACTAAATATCATATTCAACATAAACGTGCGTTTACGGTTTGCATTTTTCTAGTAAACGAACCAAGTAAAAAGCAACGTATAGGAAACTCCGGGTATACGGGAAGTCCGTACATTATTTTGGCATGAACAGAATTTGGTATTTGTTCTATATATATGAAAGTATATTTGTTCATACTTTTGTAATATACAGTATGGATAATAAAAACTGTATACCAGCTTTGTCAGTGTTTTATCCCGTAGTATACTAGAGATATACAGATAATATATGGAATCGTATTTTCGTGATACAGAGGATAAATGACTTGTATTTTCGATACATACACAGGTCACGGGGGTGGAACCCCATATGTATCTCAAAACGAGCATCGGTAAAAATTACAGGTTACGCGGCTTGTATTTTCGAGATTTAAGATGATACAGAACTTTTTCTGAGATATACAATTGATAGGTAACCGTATTTCCGAGATAAACAGAGGATACTGAACCGTATTAGAGAAAATACGGAGCTTGTTATTTAGAGACAAACAGAGGATTACGGATTCTTCTTTTGAGGTTTCCAAAGAATACGGAATTTATTGACCTAGACTACAGGAATATCCAAATATATACATGCCGCAAATATGGAATGTATTATATATTTGGGATAATTTTTTATACATTAAGCCAGATACTAAGATTCCTGAAGCTATATGCCATTTTTCAAGGTAACGGAATTATATCACAATTAATAATTGACACCTATACATGACTGAAATACCTGTAGACTTGATCGTTGTTGATTATACTTTGATAATGGGAACTTCATATCAAATTGCATAATGATTCTATCTTTATACTTGGAGGTTTTGAAATAGCAAATCTAACAAATAAATCAACTCAAAACTAAATGAACATTTATTTTCTTATCAATTCATAAACATAAGCATAAATAAATCACACACAATAATTTTATCTACGCTACATGTGTCTTATGAATGTTTGCCGAGGTCGAAATTCTGAATAAAGCGCAGCAACCCCAACCTTATGCTTATTAACATGTTTCGTTGAATCTAACCAAAACTATTACTATGACCCATGGGTCAAAGTTTAATTTATAAAACTATGCCCCCGACCTCGCTTATTAGCATGTTTTCGCTCCGCGCCCCGCCATTTAACTCGTTAATTCTCGACTTTTCGCTTGGCGGGGTCTCGGGGCGAAAACACTCTCCGCGCCCGCCATTTTATTTCTTAAATCTCACCCCGCCCCCCCCCCCCCTGCGGGTCGAAGTTATATTTATTTAACTTCGCCAGGGGCCTCGCTAGTTATCGTGTTTTTGCTCCGCGCCCCCGCCATTTTTACTTGTTAATTATCGACTATTCGCTTGGCAGGGTCGCGGGGCGAAAAACACGAATGACAGAATCATAGACATAAACTACGCCAAAATACCAAGGTAGTATACCATTGTATATATTGAAAAAAAAAAAGAATAATATTATGTCTAGAAGGAGTAAACAGAAATTGGTTATTTTATCAAAATTCATTAAAAAGTATTTGATTTTGTTCTGTAAGTATAAGGTATAAGGTTTTGTTTAGTTCATGACTTGAGTTTATGAAAAAGTGCACAAATTTTCATTTTAAACGGAAAATACTGAAAGAACTGTTTCAAAGATTTTGTCATATTTAATTATAACTCGGGCAATTTACACACTGTTGCCATAAATATGGTGCTCAATTTAAGATTTATTATTTGGAAGCTTAATACAAACGTGGAATAGTGATAAAAGTTTTTTTTCATTTTCTGGACAATTGTTTTCACAACGGCCCGGGAAATGAATCCCCTGCTCGTAGGCTCGAATCTGGAGTTTCCGGCCTTCTCTCAACTCATAGTATATTTTTAAACGGGGTCATAATTATATATTTTTTTTGGGGTTTTTGACACTTTTAGGACGAACACAGTTTTTTTTAATCAAACAGGTCATATTTTTTCTTCCCAGGTCCGATACTCGTGCCTGTGTGTTTGATACAAACAACAAATACTATAAAACGCAGTTTTGAAAATACTTTACTACACCTATTATGAACTTTTGTGATATTTTCCTGATGCAATAGTAATAAAGGAAGGAGTGGGAATATTTGATGAATTTAAAAGCAATGGTAATGCATGTATAAATAGTTCTTACAGTGGTTTCAGGAATAATGAAAACAAACATCTTAAGAAAGGAAATCAAAACTCAGTTTTAAATAAAATGTATTCCAGTACTGCAAAAAAATTATATGATTTTACTATTTTATTTTTGACAACTCTTGATAACGAGCATAAAGCGTGATACGTTTTTTTCCCATACACATGTATAATTATAGATATATATTAGAATCCCACCATGCGTGGAAGAGGTATGCTCTGGACAAAGTTGCTATATTTTATCACCTTTAGTGACCTTGACCTTGCATATATTAACCTAAATCACATATTTCACACCAGTAGTCATGATAATGACCGTATGGGTTTCAATCCCTCAATAAATGATGACTTAAAGGTCCAAATACACATTTTCATATTTTTATCTGAAATAAGACCCTTATGTGTGACCATGACCTTCGCCGCAGGAATATAAATTTTTCACGCGACACTTTGCCATACAATGGTGAACATTTGTGCCAAAATAAATTGAAATATCTTTATGCATGTAGAAGTTTTGCCCCGTTCAAGCGTTTTTCAATGACCTATAAGTGTGACCTAGACCTTTGACCTAGAGATCTTGTTTATGCGCGCGAAAGGGCTCCTCATAGTGGTGAACATTTCTGTGAAGTTTCATAAAATTTCCCCATAGAAATAGTAGGAGATATGCTCCGGACAAAAATTGGACGCCGCCCGCCCGCCAGCCAGGGGAGAAACTATAATTTGCCCCATTTTTAAACGGGACTGTAAAAAGCTTTGAGAAATAGAAATAAAATATTTCTGAGGCATTATGGGTATCTAAGAATTTTTAATTAAATGAATAAATAGCAGTAGCCACGAGTGAAATATGAAAATTTTCATACCACAAGATGAAAATAAATCCTGTATTAATAGAAAAAACTAATTTTCTGTTTATTATATACTTTTTCTGTCTTTTTATAACTTTATGAATAGGAAGTATTCCATTTTAGTTTTGTGTATTGGCTGAATTTAGAAGAAAGTAGTCCGACAAGACACCAGTGAAAATACGGAAAATATGTTTCACTACAGCGAAAAATAATTTTTTTCAGTGAAAATACGGAAAATAAAAATACGCAATTTATTTCATCAATATTTTTCAATGTTTCATTTATAAGTAATTAATAAATAGATTTATTGATAAATTAAGTAAACTAAGTCAAAATTAATAAAAAGAAAATAAATACCCTTAATAGTTAACTCCATAATAACCAAGTATATCAATAACGATCAGTAGCAAACTGTATATAAGTATGATCTTAACTTGTTAAAGATATATTCAATGTCAAATAAAAAAAAAAATTGTTTTCGAAAAATAATTGTTTGACATTTTGTAACCCGACTCTGTAAACCTTACCGATGTGATTTTTGAAAAATCAAGCTACATTGAATATATCAAATATTTTACATTCGGTGGGTATATTTATCTATTTTTGTATTCAGACACCGCTGTATGTAAATGTATAACTTACCACTCCATGAAATATTTTAAACTTGTCTGCGTGCACCGATTTCTATTGTATCATTATTTGCGAGCTATAATACTGCTTTATCTACTAGGCAATTTTCTGCTTGAATATACTGCTTATTTATGATTTTCTATTATATAACAGTCACAGATGTTATATCAGTTTACCTTTTTATGTTGAACAAATATTGCACGTTTGTTGGGATGTTTTTTTTAATTAATTAATTAATCGCGACATGGGCATATCTTTTATAACGGTCCCCAAATAAGAAAGATAACCTGTATCTTAAATCAAAGCTATTTTGTTAAATTATCTGTGACTTTATTTTTGATATTGTACGTATACTATATTGTTTCAAATACATACGCAATGCTGTAGTTATTGTACAATTTTTGAATAAAGTAATTGTTATGTTCTGTGCACTCAGCTGGTTTAGATACGAACTAAATTGCATACGACCTTAAATAAAAGGAGGCTAGTGCGCCATAAATTTGTTTAAAAGATTTCTTGTAATAATGCCGTGTATAAATGTTTATTTCCAATCGCACCTATTCGACCCTTTCCGTCAGTCTTCGGATTAGGACCTCGAACACAATAGTAGGAATACACAGAACGGATACGGTATTTCGTTCTAACCTACGCTAAAAAACTAGACATGTAAACCAACAATAATACAAGAAAAGCATTGATGCGAAACATCAAAGGGCGTCCATGCAAGAAATGCAGCAAGTAAAGATGAACAAGTATACCAGATTACCAGATATTTTTTTTAACTTTTCAATGGTTAATTGGTTTTTAACAGAATTGTATACTATTTATGAATGAACGGACGAAATACATTATTCATCATGAACTTTGGTAGGCATGCTAGAGATTAGAATTTTTTTTCCACGGGAACTTTTAATTCTAACAATTTTAACAATAACGTCCAAAATAGACAGGTCAATAATATCCAAAGTGCAATTGGTTGTTTGAATATGTTTCATTTTTCAAATTTCATTTCCTGCAAAATTCTCCATTTCGCTATTTATAACCATAGCGCGAAACGAATCACCGTTTCGATAAACTAAAACTACTTCTATAAATAGATTTTCGGACTTTCACAATGTTAAGGTCATCATTATATTTATAGGTACAGCAGTACACAATAACCCACTGGGTGTACTACAAAAAAGATTAATAAAAAGCCCGAAGAGCGCGATAAATTGATTGATAAGATATTTTCATTTGAATATGTTTGCATTGCGAAATTCTTCAGCTCGTTATTCATTGTTCGCGACATTTTATTTTTGGTAATCAAACACCCTCATACCAATCAGAATGATTGGCTATTATGATCGACGAAAAGGCCCGAGAAGTTGCTGTCGCCCTTTTTAATTCCATAAGGGGTGTCGCGCTTCGGCGCGGATGCCAATAATGCTGGGAATTGTTGACATGTTTATTTCCAATATTTGAAGAACATGTCTACCTAAAATAAGTTAATTCAAAGATTCAAATGAAAACAATACATTATTTGTGTATTTATTATTATGGTTGTAGCAAATGAAAGAACAAAATACCAGCCTGTTGACATTTAGTCTGATGTGTTTCAAATTGTTCATCAATGGGAATAATTAAATTAAAAATGGTTGTCAGACATATTTTCAATCATAAGTGTACCGAAACAGACTTAATGTTCTTTTGGATGCCACTTATATGTACATTCGTTTTACATTATCGAAGGTTAAACTCTCTCTTTATGTTTACATCTGAAACTATTTTTTCTCCGTATTGTTTCCGAGGTTAATATTGCCGAGGACGTTCTGGTTGGTGTATTTCCAATATGACATTCGACTAGCGGTTCGGTAGATATAAGAATAGCCACTTAGAATTGGTCATATATCCTCTATATTTTTTTAAAACAATACTGTGTGGAGTTAACTAGTATTTATTATGTAAAGGTAATAGACTCTTTTGTCTCAGGTGTGTCCGGGTTTCACATGTCTGCCCCTCGTTTCCGATTTAATATGATAATATTGTTTCATTCAAATGCTTGTGTCTTTATCGCCAAATTTTGAACAATTAAATTATATCAGTCGTCTAAATTAATGTAACGTAAACCTCGGGAGCCATTTTCTCTAGGCAAACATATCATTACTTTTAAAACGGCAAACATGCAGTTAGAGACCTAATGTGACCAAAAAATGTTTTTATTTTTATTTCTCAAAAGTTTTATAATTGCTTGTGGCCCGATAAATTCTCCAAAACGTTTCTCACTTGCAAATATAATGAACAATATACTGCCAATCGCAACTTTTCGGCCCTTTCCCTCAATTTTCAGATAAAGCCCGGCTCACACAGGTTGACCACCCGTGTAAACCGTAGTTACAACCAAACCAACCATGGCGTTATCCGAGTTACACTCGGGTAATCTGAGTGTATCCAAGTAAGCCGTGAAGGATTTTTTAAACTTTAATAAACTGGCTCGAATGTCATGTCCGTGATCGTATAAGCGGCCGTACAAGACCGTAAGAGACCGCGTGAGACCATATGAGACCGTATATACAACTGTATTTTAAGTTAACTCCACGAATGAGCCCAACCATGTCAAGGTCGTATATAAATCTTATTGAATCGTTCGAGACCGTCCCCAATTCCTACATCCAACACCCGATTAACACCCGAAAAGTATGGATATACTCGGTCTCATACGGCCTCGTACGGTCTTACACGGTCTCTCCTCCAGCACAAACTGTACAACGAAAACTACTACTACGTGCTGCCACCCTCAACTGCTAGATCTACGCAGAGTACTTTCTGGATCACACTAAAATGCACCCAAAGAAGAAGGTTCTCACGCACAGAAGGAAAACAAGAAAGGACATCCTTGCCCGTCTTACACCTGCTGACCCTGCCGACCCTAATGAGCTGGAGGACCCACCGTCACTACCTGAAGATACACCCATGTCTCCAGCTCATTGGGCCCATCAGCAACCGCAAGTAAAGTGATAAAGTATTTTGTGCGGATGTCAACATACTACTTTTTTCATTTTGCTACTGTTATGACAAATGATGTCATATTGATGGCTACATTCTTAGGTGGAAAGCCTTAAGGTAGAACTCGACACTTTGCGAACTTTCGAGTAGCGTCTTGAAAATTGGCATGCAAAACGTTGACCATATTTCTGATTAGGTTCCGTTGATTTTATTTCAATAGTTTCAGCCAATTTTGTGTACACACGGCGTCAAAGTTGACCATCAAAGCCCGTTTTTGAACATGACGTTGTTGCGTATCCTTGGCAACTGTTATGGGTATTTCAACACCATTTGAGGTCAAAATATCTTTAATTCTACAGCATCCGACGTAAATTATTTTTTCCTTTCGTTTTACGCCGAAAAATGTTTGAAAAAGGAAAGAAAATTGTCAATTTTGTGTAAAATTTGACGTTCAGTTTAGCCGCATTTTTCGGCTTTAAATCGGCTTATTTAGATCTAAATAAGGCACCTATAAAAGGCAGGTGTAAGACGGGCAAAAATGCCCTTTCTTGTTTTCCTTCTGTGCGTGAGAACCTTCTTTGGGCGCCTTAAAGATCGTTCAGCACGACATTATTGTTGTGCTTGTGGTATTTGGACTAGTGAGGCATTGAATATGATGTGATATTCACATGTACATAATATTGACCGAGGCGATAACCGAGGTCGATATGACTTTCTGCCGGCGAATAACACATATTATTATATAATCTATAAATAGCTTTGAAATGCCTTTCACTGATTGGCTAACAAGCAACTTTTTGTAAAAAATAACAGGTCAATATCAGAGTATATTCACTGTTTTTTTCTCTAAAAATAGATTTTCAGAGTATATTCACCGGTTTTTCTTCTAAAAATAGATTTTCTGGAAATCCCTAAAAGACGCGAGACTTTGACTTGACGTCACGCCAAGTTTGTTGTTATTATTCTGAAAAAACGTTGAGTGGGGTGTACATTAGAGTTAAATAAGTCTATTTTAGTTAACGTTTTACATTTTTAAGAACAATAGGGATTAGCATGCCAATGGAAAGGGCCAAATTATGGAAACAGTAGACAAGCTGTATAATAATGATTTCCGTCGTATGCAATGGCAGATGTGATAAGCCATATAAAAGCTATTTATAAATTACATAATAAAACAGATATGTACTTTTTAGCTGTTGAATATGATGTGATATGTACTGAAAAATTAATATTGACCTCGGCTATCGCCTCGGTCAATGTTAATTTTTTCAGTACATATCACAACATATTCAACAGCTAAAAAGTCCATATTTGTATAATATTCAATGCCTTACTAGTCAATAATTGCTGACTAGTGAGGCATTGAATATTATGTGTTATTCGCCGGCAGAAAGTCATATCGACCTCGGTCATGTCGGTTATCGCCTCGGTCAATATTATCTACATGTGAATATCACATCATATTCAATGCCTCACTAGTTCATAATTGTATAATATTGTTGCAGTTCTCGCGATATTACAATCAAGATTTTATGATGCATAAATTGTATATTTTTTCATAAGCAGTAACACTTTGCTTTTCATTCAGGAATGAATTTGTTCAGATTTATATTGATAACTTCTGGGCCTATCCCTTTCCGCAAACATTTTGATGAATGTGGCTAGATCATGCCCTGGTTGTCAGTTATCATGTGGCAGACGCAGACTCTTCTTGACATTCTCATTTGTTACGGCTGCATGAAGTAAAAAGTTTCCTCGGCCTTCGATCACCTTCTGTATTTCAAGCTCACTTATCAGTCAAGGGTTTTCAATACACATATTTTTAAACACCATTTCTTTAATTGTGCCATCTAACCAAAAAATAAAAAAATAAAAGGACGTTTGCGTTTCAGGAGTTCATGTCC